CTTTACAATCACTTAGCTATTCCTCACAACAGCCCTGTGAGGTAGGTCGACATTATTACCCCCATTTTACAGATGGGGGAAACTGAGGCACAGAGAGGTTAAGTGTCTTGCCCAAGGTCACGCAGCAAGTGAACGCTGGAGCTGGGACTAGAACCCAGGTTCCCTGACTCCCAGTGTCCTTGAAACTAGACCACACTGCTTCCAAAGAGGCATCCCCAGACTGGCTTGAGCACGAATTAAAGACGGACAATGTTGGATGAGGTTTGGGTGTGGTGGGATCTCCCGTGGACACGTTAGATGGAACCTGAGGTGTTACCTGGACTGGTTTTGGCATGCGGGCGTATGTGTTAGTTTAAATGGCGTGTCTGAGCTTCCTGGCCTGCCCACTTCCCGCTGCATTCTCAGCTGGGTCGCTGCAGAGAGTGGGGGCCGGAGGGTCAGTATTCGTGGCGGACTGGCATATAAAAGGAACTCTCAGCTCAGAGCCAAGGGGCCTGCCAGTCTTTGGGAGTTCGGGCAAACTAGGGATGCAGGACTTTGGAACGAAGTCAGCTGCCCACCTTAGGCAGGTCTGCCTCCTCTTTTTATTATGTTATTTTTTACTGGCCAGCATCAGGAAGTTGTGTTCATTTCATTTCTCTGTGGGGCGGCTGCCCCCCACCTTTGCTCTCTCTCTCTCTCTCTCCCTCTCTCTCTCCCTTTCTCTGAGTCTCTGCTTGGAAGGGAAAACTGTTAAGCCTTTTGCACGTTCCCTTCCATGAAAAAGAGCCACCGTGAGCAGCGTCCGCGCCAGGAGGCCATGGCTCTGCAGATGAGCCACGGCCCCGCTTCCGCCTTCTGGAGGAGTGCTTTGCTTGGAAGGGGTCTCCCTGGGGCCTTGGGTTTGCTCTTTCCTGCATTTCTCCCGAAATGCTGGTTCAGTAGAAATAAGCCCACTTGAGACTTTTCCCTTTCAAGGCCTTAGCCACAAACGCCTTCCGACTAACGAGCTTGGTGCTGTAGCTCAGGTGGAAAATTCTAAAGCATCCGTTCAAGCATCTGAAACAAATGAATCAGCCAGTGAAATCTCATCTGTTAGCATCTGTTCTCTTCTTAGATTAAAAAAGAAAAAAAGCAGCCTCTTTTTATGGCTTTAAATGGACTCATGCTTTTAAAAAAGAAAAACACCTTGCCACTTTTTAAGGTAACTAAGTAACAAGTGTCTGATGCTCCACAGATTAAACGTCTGTGGAGACTTTTCTTCTGCTTCTATACGGAGCCTCCCCAGGGTGGCTGCATCAGGGCACACCAGGGACGAAGAGTCACTGGATTCCTGTACACCACCCACCCTTCCACTCGACCACCTGCATCACCATCGGTCGGCTGGGGCGCAGGCTTTAACATAAAACCTAACCACCTAGCTCTACAACCTAGAAATAATGGCGACCTCCTTAAACCCAACCTCCAAACAGGTGAGAAAGACTATCCCTCCAAAGGCTTCCTGTCATTAAAGATAGGCGGGCTCCCATCTGGGATGAGTGGGGGAGTCCTTGGATTTCACCAGAGGTATCTTTTGCGTAAAGGAAATCCTTGAATGTTGAAAGAAAAAGAAATGAACAAAACTTTTCCCACTTTGGGATCTTTTTTTTCTTGATCCATGAGACACTGGACTAATTCATGTCTCCATCTTGCACAGAAGTCCTCATCTGGAAAGTCTGATGGGGCATTGCTATTTGACGGGAAGGGGACTGAGCGTTTTCAAGGCTGCAGAGCTGTGTTCCTTTATTTACTCGCTCTTGGCAGAAAATTGCAGGTCACTCGATGCAGCAATAATGGAGGGAGAGCAAATGTGGAGTCAAACTGAAGTGGATTATGGCACATGAGGGGGTGGGAGGTGAGGAAAACAAAAAGGTAGCCTGATGGCCAGCTTCTCTCCGACCCTCTACAGAGGGTCGGAGAGAAGGCTGGCTTTAATGAAGATGGATGGACAGATGAAAACTGCACACTCATTCAGACCACAGAGGCCAGAGGACACCGGGTGCCGAGCTCCTCCCGACACACGGATCCAGGAGCTCAAGCCCTTCCCCTTCATATAGAAGGGGACACCACAGTGGGTCTGAACAGAAGGAGACCAGATGAATTCCCCAGGGCCAGAAACCACAGCGCATCTGTGTGCCCTTGAGAACCATTCCACGGGGAGCAGAGAACGTGGACCAGTTCTGATCCTGCTCAGACAGACTGCACTCTATGTAGCACAAGCACGCACATGCCTACAACTTACTTCTGCGCTCACACTCCACCTCCCATGGGCAATCCGTCCATCAGCCATGTGGCACCCCTGGCGTAGGGAGAAGCAACTCATCCCACTTCTCAGCAGGCCATACCCACATTTGGGGGCTTCCTTTGAGGGTCTGTGTACTTGTCCCTGGTGACACCGTGTGTGCCACTGACATTTGACCCTATGTCCCTCGCTATGTCACGTAATATTTCATCACACAGAAAGGAAGAGCTTCCTCATACTTATTAAATGTACAGTGACAAATCACATTCAAAGCCACTTCTAGAACAGAGGTAGCCAAAAGTGTAATTAGAATTATCCTTCAAGGAGATAAAAATTTTCTATTTTTAATGTTTCCTTTGGGATCCACTGCACTTTCAGAATTTATCTGTCAAGATTATGACACAACTTCATCTTCTAGGCTGTGTACTCAATATAAACTATAGTCATAGCCTCAAGTCCCAACAGAACCCAGGTGAAGATGTGCTAGTATCATTATCTAACAGGAAATGTTTGAATTTCACCAAAGAAATGAAACTCTTTCTACAAACAACAAAATGAAAAAAATGTTTAGAAGAAAAACATTATTGTAATGCAACGTAATAGTCTTTTACTCCATGACTTATAAATGTAGCTTTAGCACCATTTGAACCTGCAACTTAAAAGACTCAGGGAAGCCCATCTGTGAAATGTGATAATTAATTACTTAGCCATGTGTTGTCTTTCAGGTTTTGAAACATGAAAACACTATATCCAGCCACTAGAGCAGGAACTGAAGCCATCTGATTGGGAAGTCTTGGAGATTCAGGGAAGGGATAACTCTACCCATGTGGTCATCATGCATGCCTTCCCCAGAAAACAGAAGGGTCTCATAACACAGGGCTAACTTGGTTACTGGAAATTATGACATCGCCATCCATGAAAGAGTATGTTTCCCCCTTGAGAAAAGTCATCAAGTTCTACTGACCCCACCACCTAGAATTCGAGAACAGCAGGCAGTTCCCTACTGGGGGAGAGGACCATGACACTCTGAAATCCAGCCAGTCTAGCCCTCCAGTCCCACGGCCACTTCAAGGAAGTGCCTCGGAAGCATGTTCATCACACCTCCTCCTTGCACTCACCTTGGCCACACTGCCCTCAACGGCCTATAGACCATAGACCTGCTCAGATTTGTAAACATGTCTTTTAGGTTTGCTTTGTCTTTCTAAGGCTACTTGTGAACTGTGATCATGAGGAGGACTGTCACTTTTGCAGACTGGAGGGGCTTGGGGCAGGGGGGCGTTTTACTCACAAACTCTACAACCTGAGACAGCAATGGGCTATTGGGTTGAGCCTGTGGTTCACTGAACCACCTTTAGGGCAGGTGATCAGAGGAACAAAGATCAGAAATTGTCTTCAGCTGGACTGAGCATCCATGCTCCCCCTGGCTCTGCAGCTGTCTGGGCAGAGCAACGGTGTCCTCATGAATCCTCGGGTCACTGTCACACCAGGCATCGACTAACCCACCATCTGCTTATGCACCCACACACCCTCACTCATGGCCATTCGCAGTCATATCCTCTCTCACAACAAGGTCACAGACAAGCCTTCCCTTCGCTGCACCATTTATTGGAACACAAAACAATGCTGGGCATTTCTCCCTAGAAAAAAGTGAAGGACTGTTCCACACTGAACCCTCTAATACCTACACGGCCCAATGGAACACATGTGATGGTAACAGGGACATAAAAGTCATTTTAGAATAAAGAACAGGGAAAAAAATCTTATTCATGATGGACTTCAGGCACTTGGGTAGCAGAGATGATGGGGCGCTGATTGGTTCGGACAGGTGTTTCTGACAGCTCTCCCACCCCTATGCTTCCCTTTTACCAGTTCTTAACATCTCATTCCCTCTTTCTCTGTCGCCAGTGCTGGCTCACAAACTTGCCTTCCTGGTCCCTCGTCCTGCAGGCTTCCCCGTGACCCCCTTCCTCCACACACCTGTTTCCACGCCAGAGCTCTGGCCTTACCTAGGATTCTACATCCTCGAATGCGTGGACTCTGGCCGGAACCAGAGGTTCCTGCAAGCCACATCCACGCTCTAGAAGCCTGGGGCAGGTGAGCCACCCAGGGCTGGCACAGGGGGAGGGACCAGAGGCTGGCCCCGGGCACAGAGCCGTGTTTGCACAGCAAGCCTCACGGTCGTCAGGAAACACACACAGAGACAGACACACTGTGACACACGTGCACACGCACACACACACCAGGAGGTGATGGATGTTACTGAAATGGACCGAAAACCAACAAGCAGTGGGGTAAGAAACAAACAGAAACAAAACAAAGCACTTGCGTTCGGATGGAAAGCGGTTTCCTGGGAGGCCGGGGCCCAAGCCCAGGGAGGTGGGTGTCTGCCTAAGGACGCTGCCTTTGGAGAAGCCAGGAGGAGACCGGGCGCAAGGCCAGCACTGGCCTCCCGGGCCCGCTGGGGCTGTGCCTCCGCCGCCGTGCCGGGGCCCTGCCGCACAGGCCACAGCAGGTGTGGGCACAACAGACAAAGCAAGAGGAGGGAGGCACTTACCTCGTAGCCCAGAAATGGCTAGTCCGCATTTTGGGGGTATGTGCGGTATCGCAGTTTAAACAAAATCCTTGTAGCACTGCTCAACCATGAATAGCCAGCTCTCTGGTATTTCAAATAAGCTTGTAAAATGGTTAGTGAAAAAAAAAAAAAAAAGAAGAAGAAGAAGAAAACAAAAGGACAATTCACCTGTAGGGCAATGGTGGTGTTCTTCGCAGGGTATTTTCCCACCAGTCCTTGTTCTTTCCGTTTCTTGAATTTCCTAAAGTAGTCCTGTATCAGGAAAGTGGCATAGAACTTCCCCACGGTTACCTCATCATCTAAACGGAGAGACCAGACACAGCTCTCCCGAATCAGCACATTTGCACCAGGAGCCTAAACTCTCACTGGGGGCCGGGGCTGGGGGTGGGATGGGGGGGGGCAATGCCCAGGGCACTGAGCTCTGGGTTTAGGACACAGAAGACTAAATCTAGCAAAAAGCGAGGTTTTGCAAAGCAGTTAAGGCTCAAAATTAAGAGTCAGTCACATGAACTGATACTCAAAATTGCGGAAAACAGTATGTTGGTCATGAGTTTATTAGAGCAGCGTATTAGTAACATTATGGAGTGCTGTCTTGGTTATTTACTTAAAATAAAAATTACAAAACAACAACAAAAAAAAGACTTCCTGGGTCCTATTTTCACCCCTGCGCATGGGGATTTGCATGTATAATTACCACGAACACCAAGGGCAATTAACCATCCAAATCCCGATGCTTTGAGATAAAAACAGAGACCTTGGAAAGTGACAGACAAGCTCGGAAGAGGAGGAAGGTTCAGGAAAGTGGCTGCAAACCCAGATTTTCATGTGCCCCTGAGATTCTGTTCCACTGGCCTCCATGTGCCGTTTCTCTACCTGTAATCCAGAACTGCTTATTTCCGGCACTGCCAGCCACAGCATCAACTAACCTCACGGTTGAGCTTATTTCTGCTTTGTTCGGAACAACTCCAGCATGCACCGCTGGGGAACTGGAACTCCGCTGAGCATTTTACAGGTGATGCATGAGGCAGAATAGAGGCTCTGGCTGTCTCATGGTAAACCACGACGGCGGCGCAGATGTGCCTGGGGGTCTCCACCAGCCCTGCTCTCCCTGGGGTGCTCACCCCCAGATCTGCAGCGGCCCCTGGGCAAGCGGCTTAGGGCCCCAGGACTTGTAGAGACTGAGGGGAGGAAGGGCTGCTGGCCCTCAGGCTTTAGGACAGATGAGCTTGTATCCAGGCCACCCTTCAAGAGTTGCAGGCTGATCTGGGGCAAGGGGCTCGTGTTCTCATCTGTAAATGGGGCTACCCCTCTTAGAGGAGCTATGGACGCAACCTGAGATGAGGCCTGGAAAGCACTCGGCTCCATGGTAGGGTGGTCCTAAGTGCCTGGGCTGGAAGACAGGGAGCTAGCAGCCTGCTGACAGTGACATCCACTGAAATGGATGGTGGAACATGATGGGTTGGCCCTCTGTTTTCACTAGTGCATCCTGGATGGGGTTCATTTAGTGTCCCTGTATGGAGACTGCTGGGCTGCTGTACGCACCTCTCCAACCTTCCCTGTCAGGAGCCACTCAGTGTTACTGAGTAAGAAGAAGCCTTGGGGCAGCTGCATTCCTCCCAAACCCCAGTCAAGAAGTCCTGGAGTGGTGTAGGGGCCACCAAAGTGACAAAGGCTCTGGGTAGCATGTGAAACCACATCCTGCATCTGTCTCAGGCTGGTCCAAATGGCCTAATGATGTACTGTCTATGAGCAAGGAGGTGAGAGGTGGACAGACCATTTAGGTCTTGACACTTTACCCCTACTTTGCTCTCAAATTGCCCCTGATTGTGCCCACAGTGCATCTAGAATACCTGTTCTAGCTACCTCTATTCTTGGGCATCCATGTTCCCAGAGGAACTCCACGTGGGTGTCATGGCCTCTTCACCACAGCTCTGAGATAGTGGAGCTGCTTGTTCCCCTCGACAGGTGGCATGGGGTTGAATGACCTGCCCTGGCAAGTCGAGCTGGGATGTGAGGCCAGGGCAACAGGCCTCTGGAGTATGGGCTCTCCTCCTTCACATGGCCCACTAGGGCTGCCCAGCTCTGGTTGCACAGACCACCTACTTCTTTAGAGCTGCCTTCCCCAGAGCATAAGTCTCTCTACTGGACTGCATGTAGGAGGTGGGCTCATAGCTGACAACCCTGGGGACCCAAGGGGGACTCTAGTGCCGTAGCTGCTCCTGCAGTCCAGGATATCAAATCTTCTCTGTGGGCTCCCAGAAAAAAATCCACTGGGTCTAGAGAAGGCCCAACTCACTCCACACTGGGATGCTTCCTGTAAATGGAGGCCTAACGCTTTCTCCCTTCAGCCAGGTGGTGCTGGCCTGGGGCAGCCCAGGGGGCTCCTGCGAGAGGGTCTTGGCTCTCCCTGGCCCAGAACTGGGGGCAGCCAGGTGCTCAGTGCAGAGGGCTGACTGTAGTTCTGCCTGAGTGGCCACTCAGAGCAGAGGCAGGCCACCACTTGGTCTTCTCCACTGACATGCTAAGTTAATTGAGGCTGGGCTGAGAACAAGCTCTCAAGAGCAGGAAAAAGCAAAGCTAGAGAAGGCTAAAAAAGGAAGGGACAGTAGGAATGGATGCAGTGAGGCTGTTTTGGCTCAGGCTCGGAGAGAAAGAGATGGGTTCAGCTTTTTGCACTCTTCAGGGCAAAAGAGCCAAAGATCTAGGTCAAGGAGTGGAGGCCCAAAGGAAGAACAGCCTCTGGAAGGATAGGGGATTCCTACAGAAAGAGGGAAGAGCCACGACATGGCAGAGACTGAAGAGTGGAGCAGAGAACATGAGCAAGATTTGAAGATGGGCAAGGGGACCACTGAGCACAGGTGATGGAGAGGACAGGCAGGCTGTGCCCAAGACCACAGGCCTCCGCTTGTGAGGACCCGGGTGGATGGTGACCTCACACCATCCTGAGCTATAAGGCTTCCTGAGGCCTCTGCTCTGCTGTCATCTGGCCTGTGAAGGGCTCCTTGAGCCTGGTCCTAGGCACCAGGAGCAGCTGGCCTGTCTGGGTCTGCTTCTCTGGCCAGGGTATGGCCTTCGGGATACTGAGCCCCTTGGCCCAGGAAGCTATCCATCGCCAGCCCAGAAGGGTGACCAAATATCCCCACTTTCCAAGTGTGCCATGATGTGGGCAAAGCTGGGAACCACTGGTCCACTGGAAGGGAAAAGAAGAAACAGAGAACTGGCAAATGCAGGCAGTAAAACCCTGCCCTGCATGCACCTCATTCAGAGTGTGTTTGCAGATGCCTGAGAGTCCCTGCCTCGCTGCGAACCTCTCCAGCGCAGTAGCACTTGGGGTTCAGCCTGGAGGAGCCTCATCTGGGGGACATACTCGGTGACACAGAGCTTCTGCAGCACGCCACCTACTAAGGTCTGCCGCCTTCTCCTTGGGTTTCATTGTGCTTCCTGCTGCCATTTTGGAATAGATGAACACCTGTCATCCTAAACCCTAATCTTTTCTAAATACAGAGAAAAGGCCAGGCCCAGCTATCGGGCCAAGAAAGCAAAAGAATATTTGGCCTTTATTAGAAGGCTAGCAGAGCTAAAAGTTGATCTGTTTTTCAAAGTAAAGGTGCTTACATGGTGAGCCAAACTCTGGACCTTTGTTTCCTGGTCTAATTAAAAGAAAGCAAGTTTCAGAGTAATGTGACTATGCTTCCCAAGATGTTGGGGGTGAGACTGCTTTATGAAGAAGGCAGCCAGTCAGTAGAGGGGCGCTGGGGCAGGGCCTGGCGGGGAGAGGGAGGGGGGTACGGTTTACCGGGACGCGCGCAGCCGCTATTCTGAAGCATGCATCTAGATTTGAGAAACAGTGTAGGGGAATACGGCTGCCGAGAGATAACCCTGATTCCATGCCACCACCCTAAAACAGAATTGCTTCAGAATATTCTGAAAGACTGAGACTTGAAAGGAATGGAGGCTGCAGAAAAAGCTCAAGCACATTGTTACAACAATTTTAAAAAGCAATTTCTCTAAGCCATGCGAGCACTGGGTGCGCAGCTGCAAGGAAAAGAATGAAACCAAAGAGTCGTTTTAAATGTGCAGTATCAGTTCTCCCGTGGAGGGCCAGGCTGCTCCCGGTGGGAGCTCGGGGCTTCCCGGTTCTTCGCTTTTCGGGGTTTTGTGCATATGTGTGTGCGTGCTTGTGTGCTTTCCCTTAGTCATTTCTTTGGGGCCGTCTCCCCTCGCTTTGAATAGGTGGCCTGTGCCAGCTAGGGGTGGCCCCCTCCTGCGACAAAAGCTCACACTGCTCTGGCTTCATGCTGAGGAGCAGAGCTGGCTGCCATGCTGCTCTCGCGCCCTCTGTCTCCCAAGAGCCAGAGACTATCACCTTCTCAGAGGGAAAGGCCTTGGCCACCGTCCTGGCCCAGGGTCCTGGAGTCGGCTTCCAGCCCTGAGCCCGACCAATCTCGAAAGTTGCAGGAGCGGGGACGCTAGAAAAGTTTGGTTGGTTACAAAACACACCGAATGCTCACCATGTGCCCAGGGCTACGGGCGGCTAAAATACTGGGGTGGGGGCACTGAGTGAACGGATCCTGCACCTTTAAAACGTGAAAATAAAATAGTCACAAAACCACCACCTCAACGTCTAAGTCCGGTGCACTTAAACAAAAATGGAAAAAAAACGGCATATATATTATATATATGTGCATCATATATATATATACATCTAAAAAAGTTTAGTCTGTTATTTTATGACAAATAACAAAAGGAATAAGCATGCCTGTTAGTTCGGACTCTAAACTCCAGTTAAAGGGACACTTTCAGTAATTACAATGGTAAACTCAAGTCTTGAGATGAACATTTCAAAAATACCATCTTCTGAAAGCTATCTATTTTTTTCTGAGACCTTTTCAACAATATGTTGAAGGATAAATGGAAACTAATTTTAAATATTCCATTTTGGTTGAAGAAATACAAGCTCTTTGTTTTGAGACAGTAAGCTTTTTCTCCAATAGTAATTCTTCTACTGACAAGAAAACCCCTGTCCCAGCCATGTGGGTCTCAGGTCTCCTTCCCCCTGAAGCCTGTCTGGAATGGTCCTCCTGTTACCCCAAATAATTACAGCAAAAGGCTGAGGAGCCTTCTTCAGCTATGGGCTCAAATGCTCTAGCGGATACGTAAAGCATTCCACAAACCCCCTCTTGGCTTGTGGGAGATCCTTGCATTAAAACCAATGCGCTGGCAAAGAACCATTTAGGAAATAGATTGCACTGACCACCAGCTGGAGGGACAACTTGGTCAAGCAGTTTCATGCTGGTTTTCTTCCAGATTTTCTTTATCACAGCTCGGAGTTCCTCATTAGCTTGTTCCAGGTTCCCTGAATTCAAAAAGCAAGAAGAGAAAACAAGACTTGCTTCTCCTACCCAGCCCTCCTATCTGTTCCCACAAGGGCCACTTCCCTCCCAGCATGGCCTGGAGCAGAGCCCTCAGACAGGATGGGGCTCCCCCCTTTCCCGCCTAACTCTCCGGTGGGGGTCATAGGTAAATAGTGGGTAAGCCTTCCACCAGGCAGTCACTCCATGATGGGAACAGCCATGTTTTATTCTGGAATTCAGGCCTATGCAGGCTGACCACAGCCAAGACCCACTCCCACCCACTGCCCCCAATCAGAATGTTTTCTCTTTGTTTGCTGCCTGTTCTAAACCCTGCCTCCAACCTGTGAAGATCAGATTAAATTTCTCCCAAATGAGACTCTCAATTCCTACTGCATGTCTTCATCAGCACCACAAAATCCTGGTTTTTTATTACATCGGCTGATGCCTGTCTCCTCAGCTAACCTGTCAGTGCCTAAGACCATCCTGCCTTCTGCATCTCCTGGGGATGCTGGCCGGGGCCAGGTTTGTGTTGCAGTGAGGGGCACCCTCCCAGGGGACCCTGGGAGCCTAGAGAGACTGGCTTTGTGGAAAGGTACACCTAGCACCTCATCTAGCACTGTGGGGCTGCTAGTAGACAGCTGTCTGCAGATGGCAGTGGTGCCCTGCTGGTCTCCCCTTCCCTCTCATCCATGAAGTGTGGCAAGAGTTGGCTCCTTCACAGTATTTACTTTCCCACCTCCTGTCACTCCTCAGCTTGCTGCAATGTGCATCCTGTTCCACCTCTCAAGTCATCACTGAGCCGACCCCAGTGGCCAGGTGCCGGGACTCGGTGGACCAGAGCTGAGTATGGCCGTGAAGACCACTCTGGTTTGACCTCAGCTGGGGAGACACTGCTGCTAACAGTCCTCAAGCACCAGCTATGTGCCCACATGGCACAGAGGCCCCTGCAGACATCCTTTCATCTCATCCTCAGGACTTCTCCTGATGGAGGCATACCTGTTCCTTCTCAACAGAGAGAGAAGCTACAACTCAGCACCATGAAATCCCTCTCTAAAGCTCGCACAGTAGAAAGGGACTGCTGGAGTGAACGCGTTTGTGATGGTCCCATCTCTGCCCTAATCCCTCTCCTATTTCTCCTGCTATGTAGTGAGCCGTAGCAGGAGTCACTGCAAGACTTTCTGGGACAAAGTGAAGCATAAGGGCAGGCAAGAAGGGATGAGGAAGGCAGGAACAGCCAGCTGGCCCAGCACTCACCGCCACCCCCTCTTCCCCAGGACTTCCCCTTCAACAAGAAAGAGCCCAGAAAGGAGAACACAAGGTGGGATAATGGCATCCCTCCCGTCTCGTACCACCTGTCCTGTCTTGGGGATGCTCACCTTCTGTCTTGATTTTAAGAGCCGTTCGAACCAAAGCAAACAGGGTTGCATTAAACATGACTGTCCCATCACTGTTGAGAGGCATGTTCATGGCAACTAGTCTCTGTAACAGAAAGAAGTTTCTCAACGGAAGGCAAATGATGGATGATGGCCATGCCCCTTTTAGGTGTTTATTCTCTGTTTATTCCTCACCTCCTACTAGTCAACACTTAGTTCAATTCAACCACTCCTTGGGGAGCACCTAGCATCTGGGGGGACTTGGAGCTGACACAGATCAAAGCTTTAGTCGTGAAACACACATGCTAGCACGCGGATGGTGTGCTTTGCTTGTTTTTAACTCCAACTATTTAAGACTTGACTATTCAAGCACTCTTCTCTCCCTCCTCTTCTGGGGTCAGGCCTCCATTCAGGGCATATCCTTAAAGCCATCATGAGGATAAGACAATAAACCAAGTATGACAAGCCAGGCACAGGGCCTAGATCCTCACTATTCCCAACACAGGGAATGTCCTTTAGGGACACTGGCGGGACCATAGTGTACTGTTTCCCACAAGCCCACATGGTTGGTCTGGTATTTCAGAGCAGGACCCCCCACTTCCCACTTCTCTTCTCTCTTCTGGTCCCTCGAACAGCAGCACTAGGGGCTAGGAGGGGGCTTGAGGGAGTGACACCTCCCTTGCAAATGCAGATGGCACACCTAGCTGAGATTAAGGGAGATCATGGACTCTTTCAGGGGATTGCCTGGCACGTGCTCAGAGCTAAGTAAGTGGTACTTGTAATGGTCAATGGTTCCATATGTCTTATTTTGGGCTGGCAAGGTGTCCTAAGAGATTTTTTAAAACACTTTTTCTCTTCCCTATTAAGGGACTGGAATCTTGTGTTCACATGACTCATCCCACCTATGTTTCTAGTCCTATTACCAATCACGCCTGTCTCCAGACAGGCAGCCAAGATAGCCTGCGTGTCCATTTGCTTTTCCTGGCAAGTTCCTGAATCAGCAAAAGAGACCATGCTGTGCCTCAAGGATACTTAGATCTTTTATATAAAAGGGTCTGGAAACGTAAACACAAAACGACAGCCATGAGCTGGAACCAATCTTGTTCTTGGAAAGCAGAAAAGAGGTTGGTACTGGAAAATTTATGGAAAAAGGCAATTTTTGTGGCTAATCCTCTGTACCTTCATCCAGAGTCCAAGCTACAAAGATGTAAAGACATGGGCAAAGACCTAGGTCCTTGGGGTTTTCTGGACTTTTAGGGCAGAGAACAATGAGTTCATCTCTGAAGATTTCTTTGAAAGCCTGAAATACATTTCAGACTCTACTCTGGTTACCTTGGGTTTTGTCTAGAGCTGGCCCAGCACCACTGGAGTGGTAAAACCCCTGAACCAAGAGTCACCTCGGGCCTCTGGGGAGAGGCGACCAGCTGCTATGGGGACTGGCTGGATTTCTAGGGGTTGCTGTGGGGACTGGCTGGATTTCTAGGATTTCTAGTTGTAGTAAGCAAATCTTGCATGTCTCCTTCAGAAAGGGGAATTCTCTTTTGTTGCTTTGCTGACTCAAGGTGGTTCCCTGGGAGCTCCATGGAAGGAGAACAAATCTCAGCTGGAGCTCACAGACAGCATAGCCTGGTGTGAAAACTACAGAAGTGGGCTATAGGGGTGGGATGGGAGATCTGAACCCAACCCTGAGAGGCCACTGCTGATGCCTGGCTCACAGAGACAGGCACTCTGGCAGCAGAGGGTGTGCAACCACGTCCACTGTTACTCAAGCTAGGACATAGCCAGGGCCCTACATCTTCTCCATTCTACTTCCAAAGCAGACCTTTTAGCTGTGCCTTCCTTTGTCCCTACCTCCACCGCCCTCACTTTGGCTCCCATTACTTTACACTAAGACTCCAATAGCACTCTGGGTGGTCTCCATTTTACTCCCCCATTGCAAAGGTGGAACTTCCCTTCGTGAAACTCTTCTCATGCTTCTTTTGTAGGATTCAGCATGGCAAAGGCAGCTCCTTGGAGCTGCACTCTGCTTGCATCTAGAGTCCTCTGCCACTTTCTTTTATGTTCCAGCCACACCAGTGACTCCCCATTTGGCACCATGATAGCCATTCCCCTACCTCTGCATCTGAGTTCTCTGTGTTCCCTTTCTAGAGTGCCCTCTTGCTTCTGTCTTTCTGGACCTGATGCAAATGGCCACCTGCCCAGTGACAAATTACATAATTCCCTTCCTATTCTTATTCTTGGCTGATAGGGTGTCCTAAGAGTTACAAATCTGATAGCTCCTCAGGACAGGAACCACGTATTATTTATCTCGGCATCCCGGCGCACCTGATGGAAGGCTCAGCAGAATGTCAATGAGTGTTTGTTGAATGAAGCAGGGAGTCCCTGCAGGGAGGCCATAAGACATACAAACAGGATGCTTACCTTACAGGCTACTCTGTGTGGGCATAATTTCCCAAACCCCAGGGGAGGCTGGATGCGTCGGAGCAGAGTGACCACATCAAGGTGCTTGATCCTTCCTCTGGAAACAAAGTATAGCATGAGGTACAGGGAAGTGCTGGCTGGCCTATCCTTTCAGTCCATCCCACTTCCACAAAAATCACAGCCAACACTCCAGAAATGGCCCACACAAGTCACAGGGAAGCCTTTTCAACTTACTTTGCCTCAGGGTCATATTCTGACCATATTCTTTTGAATTCATCTAAATGGTGAGGCCCCAGAATGGACCAGTCCCGAGTCAGATAATCAAAGTTGTCCATGATGACAGCCACAAACAGGTTGATGATCTGAAAAAGCAAATCAGAGCAAAGCTGCTTCATCTATAGTGGAAAGGATGGGGTTAGACTCTAGTAAGGGCCTCCTGATAATAAGGGTCAAGAAACATTTGGAACCCATTTCTCTGAGAAAGGCTGTAAAAACTTTCTTTTTGGAGAACATTTAAGAAAAAGATACTCTTCCAGCTTTCCAAAATGGCCTTGGTATAATCCCAGGGAAAGGCAGGAGGGCACACTACAGTTTTATAGTTTTGTTGCCACCAAATACCTCACACTGTTAAGTCACAGCTATGTGCAGTGGCTTTGGAAACTGCTATAAAGACACCAGCAGCCTTAAGAAGCTGGGGTGGTGACTGTCCCAAGCCTGTTAGTGAGCCTCAAAGCTCTGCTCACAACAAAGGTGCCAGTAACACACAACACTGTTGAAGCAAGACCTCCGATGGCCAAATGAAGTTGAGAGTGCTCATCAACATACAACACCCCACAGCAATTCGATGGGGGCAGCATCCAAGGTCTGAGTCCCCAATGCCACACAGCATCTGTCGGTTGAGAAAGGGAGCTATGTGACCACCTACCAGAAATGCGCAGAGCATGTAAAAACTGATGAAATAAACAATGGCAAAGTTGCTCCCACATGTGTACTCCTCCCCAGGGTTATAGTCTGACTCGGGGTCACAGAGCTTCCCCGGGAGACAGGCCAGCATGATCTCCTGCCAGGCTTCACCCGTCGCACACCTTGTTCGGATTAAGAAGAGAAAGGGCTTTAGTAGAGGAAGGAGAGATTTGAAGGTTAGACCTTCACGATATTTTGAAGAATTTTCTTTTAAACAAAACTTTTAATTAGAGCAAAACATAAGTGATTTGGGGAAAAGCCAGGTTAAATTAGTGAAAACTCCTAAATTGAAATTCCTACTTATTTTCAAATGCAACTTCTCGGACTAAGTAGAGGCGCTCTGATATAGCTCCTTTTGATTTAAGATAATCATTTGATACAAGCACATTAATTCTTTCTGTAAAAATGGATGTTTTTATGTCTTCTTCAAATGCTCATGCTACAATCTTAAAATAATTATTGTTTTTAATGACCTAACACCTGACAGCCTGATTAGATCCCCATTCAACTCTGTTGAAAGCAAAGAACTGAAAACTACCAAACAGCAAATAACTTGCTATTCAATCACGAGAATCATTAGAAATTACCTGTATAATTTCTAGAAAGTTATCTCACGTCAAGATACCTTGTTTACAAAGTTCATTAACTGGGGTTAAAACAATCCTTTAAAATCTGAAACCGTGCATCTTGGATATTCTCAGTTGGCTGTGCAAAGGCCTTTCTGTTCTTGCAAAATTTCCATACTCCTGGTTGCGGAGTATGGAAAGTGCATGCTCCCATGCATAAGCGTGTATCCTACCATTTTCCTGGTGGCCTTGGCAGACCTACTAGCTTCCAAAGGGATAACCCTGAAGCTGGCCACAGCCTAAATGACCACAGTAGTTTCCACAATCCAGCGAAACTCCTCTGTGACTAAAATAATGTCTCTGTGACAAAACAAATACAATAAGCCACCGTGATCAACCAGGAGAGGCTACACTGCTGTAACAGAGCACGTGTCCTGTGTCACTCTGGAACCCAGAGCCAGAGAGAGATGCCCTCATGGTACTCAGTCACCTGAAGAGTAGCAGCACCGCCTGAGGAAAGGTCTGGAAATTGTTGTTCCTGTTGATCTGGTTGTTATCTCTCATAGCAACCTTTCCAAACATCTAGGTGGAGAAATTATTAGGGAAATAAAGATTTTGTCAAAAAATAAAAAAATAAAAATGCCCTCTCCCCCCAAAAAAACTATCCATGAAACATTCCACATGTGAATTTAGAACTAACAAAAGCTCGATCAACACCCAGTAGGGCTTTCTCATAGTGCTTGGCACTTCATTCACTTAACATGTGCCACTGGGAGCATGGTGCTGAGGTCAAGCATGCCCTCACCTCAGGGAATTCCTACTAGGCAATCAGCCAGACAGCCCCTCCTGGTGAGAGCTGGCATGATCCAGCTGGACACGGAGGCACATAAAGTATCTGCAGTCAAGGTGCTGGGGGCAGGAAAGGTCCTCTGGAGGAGTGACACTTAAGGCTCAGAACTGAAGGCAAAATGGAAGCTAGTCAGGTGACAAGGAGGGTGAAGTGTTCGGGCAGAGGAAGCACTGCCTGCAAAGGAGCAGAGCTGACATGGCCCAGGAGCTCCAGGAAATGAAAAGAACATGATTGTGCACAGACAACACATCAGGCTGCAGAAAAGCGTGGGGGCCAGTGAGCCAGAGAAAGGAGAGTGGCCTTTCCTGTAAGGGCAAGGGGAATTTAGCTGTGGGACTTGCAGAAGAGTAGACCATTTTAGAAGAGCCTGGCAAAGCCTCCTGAGCGAACCGGTGATGGGGTGTGCAGGGCAGCTTGCAGTTCCCTGAGACAGCTCTTGTTTTGTAGTACATCGGGCATACAAGATCATTTGGGGGCACACAGCAGCCCATCCTGAACTACAGGGGGTCAAGTACGTCAACTCCTTGTTCCTAACTCCCAAATACATCCCCAGTGAAATGCAAATGTTTCTATGCCTTCATATAAGTAAGCGCAGCCACCTCTCTGCCTCTGGAATCACCCCATCTCACCCTACTCTTTGACACTCACAAGCCCCCTTATCTGAAGGACAGCATCCCAAACAGCAGAGCATGTAGCAGAGAGACCCCCCCCCAGGAGGGTCCAGCAGGCTGCTGTCTCCCTCTCCTCCTGGAAGCTGTGCCTCCCGTGTGAGGGCTCAGCAGTGAATGAAGCCAAATCCCTTTTCACACCCCTGAAGAAGTGGGGAAGAAGGCCTTCAGCCACGGTCACGGACGGCCTGGCTTCGTGGTTCTTTGTTAAAGGGCAGCTACCGATCCCTGTAATGGTCCCAGTTCAGCCCTTGCCGTAGCATCTGGGAGCAGGTGGTTTCAAGCAAGGATCTCAGCTGGTTATGATAAAACATAACTTTCCAGACTATCAACAGATTTCTATAGCATTAAATATCTTCTTAGTGGCATTGGTACAGAAACTGGAACAATTACGGCTATTCTTGGTGTGGCATTTCCTGTTGCTGAAACCAACTGTGGGTTTTCTTAGTTGAGTTTTCCAAGACTCAGATTAGGGGTGAGGAGCACCAATAAACCCAGCCCTCCATGGCATGTCCCAACCTCTCCTGGCTCTTCTGAGCCTGGCTGTCCCTGGCCCGGGTGCCTTCCTGGAAAATCAGGACCCTGTCTTTCCATTCCACCTGGTCAGGGTACATCTTGCCACAGATCTGGTGCTACCCAGCAAAGGGGACACAGGGAGAAAGTGGCTGGTGCTTACCTGCATGCCGATAACCGCGTAGATGAAGAACAGCATGGCTATGAGGAGGGCGACATAGGGCAGAGCCTGGAAGAGAGGAAGCACTTGGCTCAGTGCCCAGCCTCTCCCCCTTCCCCCCACTGTGACTGCTCAGGTGCAGAATGAAGACCCAACATAGGTCCACATGTTTCTCTTGTTTGGGCTATACTGAAAGGATGTCGATAGTGAAGGAGGACTTTTTAAACCCAAGCCCATGACAATAACTTCAGTCCTGAGTATAAGATCCACACATGCACCTTGTGTTACAAAGCTATGGGCAGGATGTGCTTTCCACCATCATTAACAGTGGCCCCTGACCCTAAATAGTGTCAAGGCAGACATATTACCCTCACAATAATGTTTACATGCGTCACTGGACTACTTTGTGAAATTATCATAATTGATCAAACCATTCCAGAACACTGGATATTTAGATTGCTTCCACTTTCTTTTGTGGGGATGTTTGGTGTAGGGTGAGGAGCTATTGTAGATCACATTGCAAAGGAACATGTTTGTGAAAAACCACCTATGTCTGCTTAAGGTGAAGTCTTAGGAGTGAAATTACTGGAGCCAAGGGAAAGAATCACTTTCTGGCTGCTGCTGTAGAAAGCAAGACACCTTTCTTAAAATGCACACTTTCTGAAAAAATGAGAGTTTGAGGGTTGGGTCAGGGAAAAGAAAAGGAGCTAGCCCCAGCTGGTCACCAAACCTGGGCTTTCCTTAAGAACATTAAATACAGGTGTATGTGTGGGGTCAGACCCCTGGGTCCTCTCATCCTTGGTCCTCAACTACTTTCCTAGGACATGTCGTATGACCAAAGATGTCCACACGCATGGCATACCTCTAGGTAGTGGCCGGATTGTTGAACTTCATGCCAAGCACATATGATTAAAGCATCTACTTTCTCTTTTTTCCACAAAAGGTCATCAGAAAGTCAGTGGCTACAAACCTTTCTGCTGTGTTCCAACTCTGGATCTGTGACTGCTTGCCCAGCCTGGTGCAACAGCACCATCCTGACAGCTGACCGCAGGATCAGAGCCCAACAGAGGGAGTCCCAGGCTTTCCTTACCATAAACATACCTACATGCATTTTCTTCCTAGATTACTGAATCTTTAAGAATTCTGTTGGCACTGTTTCTCAGTTTTTGCGAACTACCACTCTATGCAATGAATTTCTTTACACTGACCAAACTTTTAAAAAGAAAAGGTTTAGTTTAATTTCTTTAAAAGTAAGTATGAAGAGGTGCCTGGATGGCTCAGTAGGTTAAGCACTGGCTTTTGGCTCAGGTCATGATCCCAGAATCCTGGGGTCAAGCCCCACGTCAGGCTCCCTGCTCAGTGGGGAGTCTCTTCTCCTCTCCCTCTATTTCTGCCTCTCCCCCTGCTTGTGCTGTCAAATAAATAAAATATTTTAAAAAATGACATTAGTGCACAAGTCTATTCTATTTTTGTAGCAGTTCATTCACAAACTTTGGTACTTTATATTATAACAAGTGTCTGGGATTTGATCCTTTACTGAGACCAAGGCTTACATGGGGTCCCACTTGCCCTCCCCCCCAGGGCTGCATTCCCAGTTCTTCCCCCTACCTCAGGGTCCCCTGCCAGGAGCTGTGATATCCTTTCTTTGAGTTTTTGGATCTATGCCCTTCCCCAGTGCCATCCCTTTCCTTTATGTGTTAAAATCCTACCCGCTGCAGAAAAACGTTCCTCGGGATGTTAACGCCAGTTACCTCAGAGGTGGTGGGCTTGGCTTGAACTCTTTCTTTATATGTCTCTTAGACATAGTAGATTAGATTCATTTGCCAATGTGTTTATTTCAAGTTAAAAAGAGTCAGAGAAACAAAGATTCATGATTCACTTTTAATGTTTATACATAGCTACAAATCTCCTACATAGGTGAATGTTTTAAATGAGAATCTGTACCCGATCCCTGGTTAATTCAGTCTGGAAGACTAGACTATCTGGGGTGGACTACTAGAAGGTACAGGAGAAGTCAGGTCAGTCCTGATTCGGGAACAGGAATCTCTGCAGCAGCCTGCAGAGTCACAGATGACAAGTGAGGCCTGGCTTATGCCCAAATGTCCTCAATACTGTGATCCTTCCCGGCACTGGGTAATGCAGAGATTGGTGACGGAGTGCTGGCTCAGGTAGGAAGGGTCTCTGGTTTGTACGCAGACTGGCCAACAGTTAGGGCCGTGGCAGCCTTAGGAGGAGGAGCTGTCCTGGCAAGAGGCTGTTTGGTTTACGGGGGATCTGCTGGGACCTGCCCTCTCTTGGATGTCACCATCCATCACTGGCCATTCCGGGGAGGACTGCATCCTCCCCAGAGGGGCTTGGAGGCTCACTATCTCTATCAGTCTTAGAAGCTGATACAGCTGTGGGTCCTTACTGCCTTGTCTCCTTTAAGCAAATAATCCTGTTTGATTCACCAAGTACGGCTGGGTCAGATGTCTCTGGTGTTCCACATCCTCTATTGACCTAATGGGTCACAATGGCCATGCAGAAGGGAGTCTGGATCCTCCACAACAGAGGACACTCACTGGCTCACATGTGATCTTCAAGAGCAACAGAGAAGCCCCCGGCCTGGCTCTTACCTGAAAGGACTTTATAAAAGTCCACAGCAACGTCCGGATGCCTTCCCCCCTGCTGAGAAGTTTCACCAACCGCATCACTCGGAAAAGACGGAAAAAGGTGATGGAGATTCTATTGCTCTCTTCAGAGTTCTGAAGGGTTATCATGGAGAGGTCAAACCCAATGCAAAGTAGAACATGCAACACTTTCAGAAAAACAGCAACAGATGCAAACAAAGGTGACAGAGGTAAGAATTGAAGATGTGTTTCTAGGGCCTTTTCACCTTGAAAAGCATGATATGAAAGGAAGAGTTCCATGCTAACAACACAGGGCTTGGGGAACTGCGTCCACACAGCACATGCATGTCCAAGTGGTCGAGTGTGTTAAGAGGAAAACGCCGGGCTGGTCAGGAAGACTGGACACTGATGATGAATGCAAACCACTGCAGACACCGTTTTGGAAGGACAATCATGGAGAATACAGAAACACTAGTGGGAGACTCAGCATGGTCAAGGAAAGACCCAGCCCCGGGGGACTCGTCACTGATCTTACCCCGGGTGTGGCGGTTGGGACAGGGACATTTTCACTTTCAGTTGGCTTTAAGAAATCAAAGATTGAAAATGTGTTAATGAATGGAAGGGAAGCAGTGGTTCAGAAGGATGGGCCCCTCCCCACTTTTTTTTTTTTTTTTTACACAAACTTGTGGTTGGGGTCTTAGGACAACACGGTTGCTCCCTCCCTGAGACAATGCCAGGGGCTCTGCCTAGACCTGGACTACAGGGTGGGAAGCCTTTGACATGGGGTCAGACGCACTACTTCCTAATTCACATCCCAGAGCATGATGCTCTGCAGCTGGCAGGCATCCAGTAAACAAGAATGTTGCAAGACCTCAGTTGTCCCCAAAGACATGCAGGGTGGGCCTCTGCTTCTCACGGGCAGGCTAGTTCTCTTTGGTGTGGCAGGACTGTGGGTCCGGGTAACTAATTGGTCTGCAGCAGGCCACTCCTAACCCTGGGGAACAGGAGTTGTCTACCAAACAGGCCAAACAGAGTGGCACCTGCCCGCACCGCACATACTCCTGAGCCACAGGCCTGGGCATGGAGGTGGGTAAACCAAGTCAGCGTGAGTGGGAGAGGGACCAGTTTCCCCACTAGCCTTCAATGCTAGCCTACAACTCAGACGGCTGTCAGAGAAGACAGTGCTCAGCCCTATGGGGCTCCTGGGAAGCAGCAGCTTAGGACTGGCTTGCCTTGCACTTCCACCTCATCCGAGGTCTGGCTGGGCACCTACGGCTTGGGCCCCAGGGAGCTGAACCAGTGTTCATCACCCTGTGGGCACCAGCCTCCCCTTCAGGCAGCGTCCTTGCTTCACTCGGTGCCTAGCATGGAATCTGGCACTTATTAGATGTTCAGCGTTTAAAAGAATGCAAAGAAGTTGTAAGCAAGCTCTAACAAACAGGAGGCATCTTTAAATTAAATAGTAAGGGCTGAACAAGAGACAAGGAATGACAGCCTCTCTGTTCCTTTTAGGAGGGTTCCCTCCATTGAAGCAGCTGGTCTACCTGGTAACCAACAAAGGAATGAGCCTTCTCTGGTTGGGGGCCTAGGACTGCTGAGTGTTTCCCAGGGTTTCTAGGGAGCCTACTACATGGCGTTTCTGCACAGTTAAGGGAGGTATGCACACACATAGATGCGCACACTAATCTGAGGGGTTCTCCTCCCTGGGGATATAGGGAAAGTAAAGGGCTCCATTCTGAACTCTCATTAACAGCTGCCTCCTGAGACCTAACATAAAATTCATGGAAAATAAGAAATGGGGCACATCCTATCACAAGTGAAATTCAGCAATGTGATGACAAACCCAGGACTAACAGGTTCTGATAGGGTTACAAAGGGGTCCCTGATTCACCCAGGATGCTGAGAAGGCGAACCTTCTAATGGCATGGTCCAAGCCCTGTCACTGTCTTTATCTTCCTCTTCTTTTCTCTTGCCTCAAGACAAAGAGCATCTCCTTAAAGAGATGGATGATGGTTTTAACTTATGACTCTAACAAACGGAGGAATTACTTTTCCAAAGTTTTGTTTTCCAATCTCCCTAAGGCTGTGTACATGAGGCTTTTGGGTATCCCCCATGCAGCTGGAGTGTGAGGGTGTGTGAGCATGTGGGGGGGTGTGCATGCATGCCTCCACTTGCCTATGCTCAAGGGGACTGGGGTGTGTGTGTAGGACAGAGCACTGTATGGTTGTACTTTTGAAATGTCCATAACTTGTGTGTTAGACCTGCAAGCATAAGAGGGTTGTTGGTCAGGGAAGATATTCTCTGGCTACAATCTGGCCCCAGCCCCTTCTGCTTGTCCTCCCCATCCCATTTCAAGTCTGATGGACTTCTCAGCAGCCCCTCCCTCACGATGTGGGAAAGTCAGCAGCCAAACTGACATTTCAAGTACACAACTCTTTTCCAACTGATACCCTTGAAGTATGACAAATTTTGAACTATGAACTTGAAACCCTGAATATTCTTAAAAAAAAAAAAAACGAAGAGGAGAACAAGGCAGCATTTGTGGAAGGACATGTTGGCACAACATGCAGAAAGGAAGGAAAGAACAAACAGCAAACCAAGCTACGTGCACCCCCAGTGCAGCCTGTGACACCTTCTTCCCTCAGTGCCATGCTGGGCAGGGAGCACTTCTACAGGGGAGGATGCTGCTGGCAGCACTGGGGGATGGTGCAAGTTGCCAAAATATCTTACAGATCAGAAGGACCCTGAAGATGGCTTTGCTCAAACTAAAATTGCCTGCCAGATGCAAAGGGCAGGCTAGCTCTCACCCTGGGCTGCCCATTCCAACTTCCTCGGGATCTTTTGCAGAATCTGATGCCCAGGTCCCACCCTAAGGATTCTTATCTAATAGGGCTGGGTGGTGCCAGAGCTTTAGGAGTTTTAAAAAGTTCCTAGGTGATTCTAAGGTGCTGCTCAAATGGGGAACTGCAAGTCCTAAGCCAGGGAAATGCTGGGCACATCTTCAGGTGATCACTCACACCAGCAAATTCCTTTTAGGTCTGGATTTGCCACACAGAGGGAGGGCCCCTAGAAAAGCCCACTTAGGCTGTTACAGCTGAGCAGTGGGTTCTTTTGGCATTGATGAGGGCTCAGTACCTGGACAATACAAACAGGCTAACCACATCCCCATCTTGCCCACAGCACATGGAGGAGGCCTGGAAACACAGAAGGCTTTGGAGGTTGCGGTTGAAATGTGGGTGAGCTGATGCCCTACATGATCCTGGGATCAACTATAGGATGCCCTCCAAGGTGGAGACTGGGAGAGGGTTCACTTCCTGGGTACTTTTCCAAAGACAGCCAACAGGGCTCTATGGTCAGTCCTCAGTAGAGGGGATTCCAGTGCTTGGGCTAGAGGCCCACTGTCTTCAGCTGGGCACCCCATGAGGAGATGTCCCTCAGCCCCAGGAAGCCAAACTGTATGCCAGGGTCCAGAAGGCTCCCTAGATCCCTGGGGCTCTCCTGATGTCCCCTCCAGCCCCTTCACACAGGGCTCCCAGGCAGGCCTCGAGATGCAAGCCTGGGGCCAGCCCTCAGTAACTACAGGAGCCAGACAAGCGCTGAGCTTCCCAAGTGCAATCAAAGAGACCAGTCTGCACCCGCTGTATTAATTCCCATCTCTTCTTGGAAAGGCTGAAATAATGTCATTTTCCACTTCAGATAGGAAGCAAACCAGCATCCCAGAACCAGTTAACTCAAGGTGTCCTGAAGAACCTACTTTTTTTTTTTTTTTTTTGGTGCAGGGGCTGAGGGGAGCCTCCTTTTGGCTACTTCTGACCTGGCATGTAACACTTCTGGGAGGTAAGGCTTCTGTATATGGGAATGCTTAGCCTGTGTCCAGAAAATCAGTGACCTGGTCCCTGGAAAAAGGCTGGCATCTGGAATGGAGGGCTGAACTAGAAGCTGAGCACAGTTGTTGGTCACTTGGTCCACACTGGGTACCTGACAGGTCAGAGAAAATTCTTGGGTCCCTGAGAGTGAGCTCCTTACTAACTTTTCACATGCTCTTCAGTTAAGAACAAGGCAGTCATGGCTTCTGCATAAGTATTTTGCCTTCCCAACAAGAATGGACTCAGTGCTGGCAACAGCCACTGCCCAGGTTAGAGAGAGTGGGGTGCTGGGTCATTGTACCATTTGAGACACCAATAGGCATCCGAGGGTGAGCAAAGGCGAGCCTGCCAATCATCATCTGACATTTTAGCAGCTTGATGATGTTATGACCAGATGTGATAAACACAAATCTGTGAGAGTCATCAAACCATGATCAGAGGGGGTGGGTGGGAGGGTTTGTAGGGTAGGGGCAATAGGAGAGGGTTGGGCAGGGCATCAAGCAGGAGAACAGAAAGGGCCATCCAAAATGTTTTTTACAGACAGTACAAACGCAAGCTAGATTTCTCACTTGCAGGCCAGATCAATCATTCTTGAAGACTGTTGGCAAGCCACACAGCCAAGTGTGACTGACCAAGATGGCCAAGATGGCCCTGGCCCAGACTCCAGGTGGAGACTGGGATCCAGCGGATGGGAAACAATTTAGATGACCATGACCCATAAATAGCACACCCTGTGAAACTCAGTGAAAACCAAAGGTGGGGAAGCCACAAACAAGTATACAGTCTTTAAAGTGCTTTTGCTTTAACAACGACATCACCGTATATATGTTTATATATACTTGCCGCTACAATTTTCTAAAAATAAAACCAACATGAAAATCAATTAGGCAACAGAAAAGAAAGATCAACAGAGGTTGGGGGAGAGAGCACAGCAAGTTAAATATTGCAAAAAATGATGACTTATCACAGCTAAAAACAGCCAACATGGATGAAGGGTGTTCAAGCTGAGCTGACCCAGGAGCTTGGGGTATAAGGCCAGCAAGGGAGAAGATGTGCGTTGCTCCTCTAGGGAACTTGGCATGTGTGGGAGAGAGGGCTGGAGGACCTAACAGCTCCACCATTAACAGTTATACCATCAGAGGTGAAGGACATCCAGTCTCTTTCATCTTTGCGCCACGGCCTGCGAACTCTATGTGCCCGGGACACATGTGTTGAGAGACTGAATAAATGAGAAGGTGGCTTTGAGCATTCACCTTGCACTGCGGCCCAGCCCAGAACTGCTGAAACCCCTCAAGGGGTTGTACCCGCCCCGGGGTGGACAGCTGGCTTTGCCACCAGCCGAGGGAGCCTTTGTCTCAGGCTTTATCTAACCAGGGGAAAAGTCACTGACTAGAAAATGGTACGAGAACGGTCACTAGCATGATTTTGAAAATCTGGATGTCAGAAATGGGCCTAATGAAAGCCTGTTTTGTGCAGAAGCCTCAAAGTCAAATGGTAACTAGAAAGTTCAGTGTGGGTTTTTGTACCTCTGCAGCTTTCCTGACGGATGAAACATGAAGCAGGGTATGTCTGAGGCACTGCTGAGCAAGGCTGGGCCGGAGGGAATGGGCACAGTGTGCTTCTGCCCCCAGCATATGGAGGCGCAGCCGGGAAGCTGGGCGCGTGCTGTCAACTGAGGGCACCAGTGCCACACCCTGCCAGCCAGAGGTGGGGATGAGGCATTGGAGAGCTGGCTTGTTGGCTCAGTGAACAAACCCTGGCCACATCCTGGTACCCAGAAACCAAGCATCTATGCCCACTGCCTGCACATCACTCTCAGCATGAAGCACTCCAGGGAAACCTGCTGAAACTTCACTTTCTTCTATTTTCATTTCCAATGTAGACCATCCCTGACTTCCATCAGGGTCTGTTCCAGAACTTTCAGGTAAGCAGACTTTGACAAAGGTTGTAAGTGCTTTACACTGGGCGATGGCTAAGCAGGCAGATGTCTGGTCATAAACTCAGGAGAGAGCCCATGGCAGCCCAGTTAAGGTCCTACTGTTTTGCCATTAGCATCAGATTATTTTATAGCCAAGCATAATTTACACATTATGAATGACAATTTTATAGCTGAGTTATGGAATATTTCCCATAAAGTAGAATTTACATAAATCTGGGCTCATAAAGGTTGGGGGAGGTATCTTCCTGGGTCTAGGAAAATACCACTTTAGTACCTTGTCATGGCATGGATTTGGGTGGACACTATCTTACAATCCATTCCACTTATTAGTCCATGGAAAATCTATACTTGGATAATAGCCTTATGTCTCCCTAATACTTTTGAGTTTTTGTAGCAAGTATTTTCACAAATATCTGTATCATTTTATCATCCTGACATACTTATGAGGCAGGGAGGGCAGATATCATTCACCCCAGGTGATCCGTGGTGGGGAAGTGAGGCCCCGGATCCAATAAGTCACTTCTGAACCAGGACCAGAACTCTCAGATCTTAGGAGTGCCGGGCCAGTGGCTGTCCCACTGTTCTGTGCTCCAGGCTTAGATTGGACCCAAAGCAGTGGCATAAAGAGGGACCACAACATCCTTATTTGATACAGGCTGTCTGGACACCAGGATGGGCCACATAATCCTGCAGATGTCAGCCAGGCAGAGCAAGGAGGCCCCTTCCCCAGCCGGGGGTGGGGGAGGAGGGGGGGCTGGCCACATGGAGCAGAAAGCCAACACCACACAGCAGTCCCACCCCATGCTCCATTCATCCCCACAGCGGGCTCTACACAACCGGGGCACACACACGGGACACCCACTAAGACTTGCTGACAAACTGGGAACAGACCAGGTAAGCAGGGCCATTTCTGCCTCCCTCTGGCCCTTCCTGGTTTAGGCATGGGTTAGGTCCAAGAACTGTGGGCAGGAGGCAGTGCTCCCTTTTCTGGAGCCTCTTAATTTTGAAGGAAGGTTCTCACGATGCTTCTGGAAGGGGGGGGGGGGTCACTCCACCTACCACGCTGCTACTGCACTTGTTTCCTTATTAAAGGGTTCAATCGAGTGCAACAGAGGAGAAAGGACACCCTCTCCTCATATGTCCTAGGCCCTCATTCTCCTGGTCCATGAGGTCACCATTGTTTTGGGTGCCAAGACAGGGTGGGTATTCCCTAGTGTCACCGGTCAGACTGGGCAGGTGCACAAGATACAGGTGAGGACAGCAGCAGCAGCCACGTGTTCATGGCGTGGCTGTGAAGTTTCCCCCTTGTGCCTTCACAGAACCATCGTGAGTGCCAGGGCACGTGCTATGAACTCCATTTTGCAGCTGGAAAAACTGAGGCACAGAGCAGTCAGGTGCCCGGCCAATATCACATAGCCAGTGAGTGATTATGTTCACATACTCACATAAATTAACTCCCGGCCCTTCACGTGTTCCCAAGAACTTTTTTTTCAAATCATGTTTAGTTCCAAAACGGCCATTCCACATTCGCTTCTCTGCTCTCTTTTAAGGGAAGGGGGTGAGGCAGGGGGAGGGGAGGCTACAAAACGCTCTTCGTCTTTCACACCAAACGTATACCCGAATTTCTTAAGTGTAGAGAGAGACCCATGGGTAAGGTTTCTAGGCTCCTGAGTGTCAGACTTAACAAAAACAATCACGTCACAGGACACAAAGTTGGCTACTTACATTCACTTCAGTTATAGCAATATCAACGACGCTACCAACAACAATTAAGGCATCAAAAGTGTTCCATGCATCAGTGAAATAGTGCTGTTAGGGCAAGCATTCAGAAGCCACAGAGGAGAGGAAGCACAACAGGAAAAAAGAAGAAAAGGACAGTGTTATAAAAAGGGAACATTCTAGCATTATGCTACCCGGCTCCTTGAAAAAAAAAAAAATTACCCTACAACAAACATGTTAACAGGTACTTCGCTTTGGGTGTTGCTGCTGACACAGCAAATAAAGACCATGAGAGACGCCTGTCGTGCCCTGCCTGCCAGTGTCTCGGGACATGCTGCCTGAGTCAGCCCTCCGGAAGGTGCTCTGTGTCTGAAAAGGCCTGGGATCAAGCTCTCCCCTCACAAGCCTCTGGTCCACAGCTCTCGGTGGGAGATTCCTGGTTTCAGGTCAAGTGAAGTTGGGGCCTGTGACTTGTCCAGGTGATGCCAGTGCGGGGCAGGGAGCGGAGCGCACAGACAGAGAGGACACGAGGTGGGCGGCCACGGCGGGCGCATACTCACGTCGGCTTCGCTGAGGGCCACGTCTATAATGCTGCCGATTACGATGAGGGAGTCAAACGTGTTCCAGGCGTCACTAAAATACCCCTGGACAGAGCAGGCAGGGGGCAGACGTTTATGAGCACGTAGGAACGAAACGCCACACGGATCATACGGGGACATATGGGAGGCCCCGCAGCACCCATGGCAACCGGGTGGGGTGGGAGAGCCAAAGAGGGAGGCAACGGTGCCGTCCACCAGCGGAAAGGGACGCAGGCTGGGGAGCACCTGCATGTGTGAGAGAGGGCACGCACACAGGCGCACGCACACGCATGCACGCACTCACGCACAGCGCAGACCCAAGGCCCTGGGCGGCACCACACCAAGCAGAGTTTCTGCAGGGCGGGGGCGGGGGGCATCTGAAAAGCCCGCCCTTGCACCCGGGTGACAACTTCAAACCCTCACAGGAGGGTGTGTGACTCTTCTAAGTCTGCAACCCTTATACAGAAGGGTCAGCAGGCCCTCCCCTACTCCTTTCCATAGTTCTCTTCTCCCAGTTAAAGAGCACTGTGACCACGCATTTCCCACCACCCTCCTTCTGTGCTCTGAAAACTAACCAGTAACCCTCCTGCTCCCCCTCACCAGTGCAAGAATTACGAAAGGTGTGCTGTGTCCTCACAGAGTCCTTGGGTTCACCGGGACAGAGGCACAGTGATGCACGCAGTCCAGGGCACAGAGTTGCCCCGTGTGTGGGGGTGGGGGGGGTGGGACACTCACTCTAGTCTATGGGGAAGGGTGGGCTGTGTAGGAAAACATAGGTCTTACAAAGGAAAAGCAGGCAAGGCTGCCAATGTGCTAAGGCTCCCATTGGCCTGGAGAGAATCCTCCTTGTACCCCAGCCCTCCTCCTCCTCCTACCCTCCAGGCTAGGAGGGTTCCTTGTCATCCCTCAGAACCACCAGCAGGTTCTTACCACGTGCACATACACCCTTCCTGCTGCCACTGCAATCCCAGCCTCCCCATCCCTAACTCTGTGTGCCCAAATCCACTTCTTCCTTTGAGGTCAGACCAAATGCCGGCTCTTTGTAGGGACCTTTTCAGATCCTGCTGATGTCTGCTCTGCCCCCGTCATATGTCCTCATCATTGAATTTGGGGACTTTATCTTCAGGTCTATCCCACTGAAATCTGTCTGGGGATGAGTACCATACTCACTCTTCTGTCCCCTCCTCAACGAGCCTCGCTATCTACCCCAGAGCCTTGAACCCATTGCCCCCCACGCTGCAATGTCTCTTTCACCCACTGACCTAGCATCCTACCATCATTCAGATCTTCATGTCTTGCAACAAGCATAAAGGCACAATGTCCCTATGATTGTGACTTATAAATCCGTGTATATGTACGTGGCATACATTTTACGTACCCTCTTACGGGCTCAGCACAGTAGATGGCTGAGTTAGTGCCTGCTGTCTCCTGACACATCCTGGAAGCCCTTGGTCAGAGGGGTGGGGGTGGGCGCTGCACACAAAGGCTTCTGGTTGCAAGGCTGACAACTCTGTCTGAAAGTCAACTGTGCCTTTTCAAAAAGTCAGAACGTGTTTTGGAAATAAAAAAAACCATTCAGGTCTGAATTACATAAAAAGGGGCCAAGCATGGTTACAACTGGGTACACTTAGTGAGGATGAGGAAAACCAGAGGGGAAGGTACTTTGAAGTGTCAGGTCCCATGAACTTGTGATCACATGCAGGCCCCAAGAAAGCCACTGCAGAGCCCCAGCCTTTGATGACACAAGAGAAAATGTCTATGTGTTGGCCATCCTAATGACTGGAGTAGAGATGTTTGTTCTAGTTACTGTTGATCACTCCAAGTACAATTATGGAGGAGCTCTGGCACTAACTGATGGTTTGGACTTTTAAAGACTTCATCTTAAGTAATGTAAGATTTTCCCACCCAGCTGCAATGACCTCTCACCCACTTCTCACCTCCCTCCTTCCCTCCTGTCACAATCTAGCTCGCTGCCATCCTCCCAGACCCCTCACCTCAGGCCTCCAACAAGTAAACGAAGGGAGTGTGCCTGCACCAACCCTGCCAACCTGTGTACACAAGTCTAATGGGGCAAATCTTAACGAACATCACATTTTGTACCTTCTAGCTTTTCTTCCCAATGCTCTCTGACTCTTAGCTGGCAGACTGGGGTAAGGCCAGCTGCTCTGAGGGCTAGACTAGTGCCACTGTGCATGCTGGTCACACTGGCCAGCCAGGAGACAAAGAGCTTGCACTTGGACCCCAGATCCAAAGGAACATAATGCTTCCTTCACAGAGGAAGACCTCCTAACACAAAAGTCAGCTGGGTCGGGGTGCTGAACACTGCCCTGGGGGTGCCAGGGTTGTCAGAGTGCTGGGTTCCCTTATTTACACTGTGTGAATAGGTAACAGGCATCTGACCAGCAGACTTCTCTGAGGGCCAGAGCCTGTCCTTCGTTTTCTGGATTTAACAGCATCTCCAAAGCTAAGGAGACTATGGTGATCATTCCCATCTCCCCAGAGGAGCTGATGCCTTACTGGTGGGTCCCAGTAACAATTGGGCCTCCAGGGTACAGAGCAACTGAAGACCTCAAGTTCTCCCCATCTCCTGTCTGGGCACACAGCCTACCCCCATTCACAGTGGCACCCCACACACTGCTCCTCCTGCTACAGTTGGCTGTTCACCTGAGGCCAAGGCCACCATCTGCCCACATTCTTTGGACTTGATTCTGAACAGCTCCTCCCCTGCTTTTCTACAATTATCAGTACTTAACCTCTGAATCATTTCCACTGGCCTACACACTATCCTCCAGTTGGCCCATTCTGGTCCACTGTGATACATAAGATCACCTTAAACCAGGGCAACAGGGGCTTACCATTTGGGGTCCTAGAACATTTTGACAGTCTTGTCAACTCTCTTAAGAAGATCCCTCACATGCACACAATTGTGCTCAAGTCCTAAAGAACTTCTGGACTGAACCTACATACCCCTTATCCAGGCAGGAGGAGGCTTACGCTGATGCAGGTGGCTGGAATCATAAGCTTGGACAAGGTGGCTGTGCTAGGGGGCCAGCAGAGGCAGAAAATGCCAGGATCTCTTTCTCCCCACATCTGATTCCTTACTTAGGGGCCTCCTATGTAATCAAATCACTGTCGAGTGAACATGACTCAGTCCCCCATCCTCTCCCACCAAAGTCACCGTGCTGTCTGGGTAACCAGAAGATGAGACAGGGCTGCTGGCAGGGCACCCATCCCTGTGCCCTCTTCTTTTGGCCAAAAGTGACAGGTTCTCCTGCTGCTGAATGCCGAAGCCAGGGCCCCTCGAGTGGAAACAGCAGTCCCTAGCACTCAGCCAGAGTCAACTCTATTTTTTATCCAGTCCTACTAGCTTGAAAAGACCAAGCAAGTCAGCCACATGCCATAATACCTATTATTCAGAAACAGGTCTGATTCAAATCGTAAATCATAAAGCAGACTAATGTGGGCATTAGGGCCTGGGACTTTCAAGATTTCCAAGAATTCTGATTGTCAGTGCCCATCTGTGGGCTCTTGGAAGCTGTGGGCTCTTGGAAGCAGAGCTGGAACCTCTAGCCAGGATAGAGTGCACAGCCATGGCATGTGTAGCGGGGGTAATGTTTGTGGAACAGAAATGAGAAGCAGCCCAAATTTGGGTTCATTTTGCTGCCTGGAGTCTCTCTCATCTGCAGATATGAAGGAGCCCACACAAATCACCTGCTTTTGTGGTTTACCACGGCAGCCAGGTCACTCAGCAATTTCTGCCAGGGACTGTGTGGGCAGTCCTGGACCTAAAACATTACCCACAGTACCAGATTTTGGTAGATGCCATATGACAGCTTTCTAACTAGCACAAGCCTTTCCAGAGGTCAAGTGGGGGCTTACAGGAAAACATTCACATTTGGCCACTCTACTCCAATCAAATACTCTGTGACAGGAAATGCCCTGCATACCATCTGATACCAAGAGGCTGCACTTATAGGCTCCCCCATTCATGCCTTTCTTCAATCCACCCATCCTTAAATAGTGGCCAGCAAGGAGTAAGCATTGTGTGAAATGCAGGAGACCCAACCTGTGACCTCAAGCAGCTGCTCAGCAGCTACTAGAGACACCCAGAGATGTACTGATAATGACATCACCCAGTAAGCATCTAGTAGACACACAGGTGAAGGGAAGAACAGACTTTGGCTGAGCTGGTGGGGAGGATGTCATAGAGGAACCCACATTTCAGACAGGCCTTAGGCAATAACAAGGCAAAAGGAGGACTTCCAGATACAGAAACACGTGCCATGGAAAGGTCTAGCTTGTTAACAGCTGGGGTTAGGGAGCATAGAAGGAACGATAGGGGAAGTAACTAGAAACAAGAAAGAAGTGCAAATCAGCCAGGGTTTGGTAGAGGACTTTGAATATGAGACTAAGAAAATTCTAATGTTTCTGCCCCCTCAGGCAATAGGTGGCTGGTACCCGAGTTTCATTGTGGAAGATAAGCAGAGAGGGGATGGGGAAGATTTAACAGCCCAGCCAAAGGAGGGGCTAGAGAGGTCTGGATGAGATGGAGGTGGTCTGCATGTAATTACCAGGTGAGAAGGGGACCAGGAGAGCACCGGAGAAACTGTGACATCAAAGTCTGGCGGAGCCCAGAAGGACTGGTGCAAAGTTCTCACCAAGGAGAAGAATGTTTGGTCTCAAGTATTATTTGGCATTAAAATAAATCATCTAAAATAGATGTGGTCACTGAAGAGCTGAAAAGACTATCAACTCTTCTTTCTAGGAGGTGGAGGATGTCCTCTAAAAAGACTGCTGAGGCTTTGTTAAGAGCTCTTACTCCTGCCAGGAGCCCTGGGGCAGGGAATGCCACCCTAGGAGGCTGGTGGCACTGGATGCCAGTTTCCACTGTGTAGCAGCTCTGCATGGAAGTATGAGAACAGCACCAAAATACTCTCTTCTCTCCCCAAACCCAACTACCCTTTACTTTTTGCAAGCCCAAGTGGCCAGGATCATAAATTAGACATTTTTGAGGTAGAACCAAGATCAAAATGCAGACCTGGGAACAAAGTATGGCTCTTTGAGGGAAAAGCCTGTGGCCAAGGCAGCTAACCTGGCCTCAGATACATGCTGGACCAAGGCAGGTGACATCTGGAAGTACAAAGAGGGAGCTTCAACAAACAGGATGTGCTCTTTCTTCCTGCAGAAGCAGGAAGGTCCTTCTTCCTCACTCTCCCTCCTTGGAGCAAAAGAATTCATGGGAGAAGTCCAGTGCTTTCCCTGGGAGTACTGGAGGGAAAAGCCAGGGAAGTGGGCTTATCCTACTTAAATCATGACCTCCCTTTTAAAAGCTTAGGATGGCACAGTCACTTTCAAGTCAAAAGCACGATCTAGAGTATGCAAGGTCAATGCCAGATGGTGGCTTTTCCCTTAGGGAGCAGATATAACAACAGCCTTCTTGCTTTCTCCTAATTCTGCTCTTTGGCTTCTTGCCACCTTGCACTCTTGCCTAGAACCAATGCTCAGAAAAGGTCTTCCCAGGCAGTGAGCCTGCCTCCCCGACTCTGGGCTTCTTGCCTCTGCCTCTCCACCTCAGCCCTCCCTGCTTATGGAGGCAGGATGACCTGACCTGCCAAGTCCTTAAACCCACTCCTTTCTAATTGTGTGCTCTTGGGAGGCCCTACCTCTCCGTCAGACTCTTGAATACAGAGGTCCCCATGGTCAGGTTTCCAAACCACACCCCCCTCCCCACCCGCCTGACTTCTTTTAACCCATTCTCCTCACAGTCCCTTCTTGTCCATCAGGAAGGGTCTTGTCAACTTCACTTTCTGTACCTGCCTCCCAGAACAGCTGCAACCATATCTCTCCTGACAGATGCTGGCAAGTTTTCCTAGAAGGTGTGCCCCTCGTTGTGGATAACACTGCCCCATGGGGCCCTGTAACATTCCTTACAGAGACAAAGGCTTTCCTTGATGAGATCCATGGGCTAGGGGCTCCCCTACAGCCATCTCCTGGAAGATTCTTCCCTCACAGCCTCTACAGCCTGACTGCCCCTCTGATGAGCCAGGAGGGGCCTTGTCGACTTCTCAGGGAAAGCCTACTCACTTGGGCTTGCTTTGTGAACCCAGAAGAGAAAAACAAGGAAAGTCAGGGAGCATTTTAAGGGCTTTGTTTCTTGGTGAACTGATTCTCTCTTACTCCTCAACATAAAGTCTGTCTTCTTGGCTTCAGTGAATGCAGAGACAGTGCTCCTCAAGTACAGAGATGATCCTGTTGCTGTTTTATGCTATGGAAATATCTTGCTGGGCAAAACGACAAAGCAGCACAATTTCTAGCGGAAATCACTCATTTTAATCACTCTGATTAATCAGTACTGATTAAAAAGTAGCTACTCATTTCCCTCCTGATATCACCAGTGTGATCACATGCCACCAAACCCTCCTCCCAGGTTTGATATCAGTGGTTTACTGGGCAGAGGGGTGTACGAGCCCTTTGGTGCTCTGGCCTGCTAGTGGGTGCGCATTCACACACAGATACACACACGCTCTGTCTCATGCACACATGCCGTGGGCAGGTGTGTCTTCCCTTCAGCCCAGAGCAAGCTCTGAAGCACTTCAGAACTTAATCACCAGGCAAGGGAAGACATGGCAAGGAGATCTAGAAATGGTCCGTGGATACGATCCATGTTGTCTCTTTTTTGATGTTCTTACTTGGCAACCTTTTTCATCAATCCAAATATTGTTCAAAGAAGTAAAGGTGATAGGGAAGCAAACCAAAAATTTCAAAGGAAATTAAGATGAACTTGGAAAAGGAGGAGATGTTTATGTAGGTAGATATGGACAAGTCACAGTAAATAACATCTGGCCATGCGTAAGGTGCCAAATGTGACCCCACTGCAATCACCCCAAGTGATCACTTACAAGTGTCCTTTCTTTTTGGTCCACAAAGATCTGATAAAGATTGCATAAAGATTAATTCAAATTAAAGAAAGGAACAGTTTTGGATTAGAATTCCATGTAAATATGGAGTATGCGAAACCATCATATCATAATCCAAGTCTCAGTAAAACCAGTGTTGTCAGATGCCTTACGCACAGATGAACCAACAACGGGGTCCCCAGATCCTGTCACTGCCTCATATTGATGGTTGGGGGGCTTTGCTAGCAAAAAGCTGAGGGTCAAATGTCCCACAGCTCAGTCAGGATTTGCTCCTCTGTCTACAGTTTTAGAATGAGGGGGCACCGTGACTTGATGATGATGGTGGTGGTGGTCACATAACAGTACTGATGTGTCCGCAGCATGTTACTACATGCCAGGCACTTTTCTAAGCATGGCACAGATAGTGATTCTTTACCCCTCACAACCACCTTGGGAAACAGGCCTGGTAGTGTCCTCATTTTACGGGTGAGGAAAGTGAAGCACAGAGCCTTTAAGGAGATCACTCTCGTTAGCAAGTGGGGAGCACGGATTTGGATCCAAGGTTGTGTATGCTCTTTGACATTGCTCTGTCAGCCTCTTGGACCACAGACATTGACAACTGTGGGACCTGGGACCGGGGTCACTCCCTCCCCAAAGGCAACCCGATACGCTGACTAGTCCAACAGCGTTTAAAAATCTCAGGTCTTGTTTTGTCTTAAAGTCAGTGACATTTTTCTAAGCCAAATAAATGGTAAGAGATCTCCAATTGGTAGAACTTTCCATAAAAAGGTGAAAAAGAGGCTGTAGACTAAGACCAAATAAACCCAAAGTCTTTCTCCTGGAAACCTAAGAGTAAAATCAAGGCTGAATTCTGTCTGATGGGTTCTGTTAGAACAGTTTGTCTAATGCTCGAGCAATGAGGCAGGTTTCTCTGAGACAGCACGATGTGCTAGAGACAGAAAACCCGGTTCAAAAGTCTCCATTCTACAAGTTCCCAACTCTGTCCCCCCTTCTTTTTCTCAGAATTATTTTTATGAGATTTTGTAGTTTTGTTTTCCCTTATATACACAGATGCCCTAATCAGATATTAACGTTCTCAGGTGATAACCCAGTTATTGGCCACAACAATTCAGCATAACTCAGTAACACAAGACGAACAGGAAGCGTGTGCTTCTCTGGGGGTGATTCAGCAACAGCCTTTGAGAAGTGGGTTCAGAGACTCACCTTAGGTTTAAATGCGATGACTTTCAAAACCATCTCGACAGTGAACACCCCAGTGAAGACCATGTTCAGAATGTCCATGGCGTCATTGAACATCTTGGACTGCTCGTAGTGCTGCGGACGAAGACAGAGGCACAGTTCTCAGAGGCCCGGTCCAGCCATCCTCACTAAAGGAGGCTCCCCAGTCCCCTGCTCCCTGCAGGCATCCACCCTCTGCTTGGACATGGAGGCAATCTCCAGTGGTTCCAACAGCACACGGTTAACTCACCACAAAGCACAGGGGGACCTTGACAGAATGAGGATGATTGGAAGATGAAGGGGAAAGACATCTATTTCCTCTGCTCAGGATGAAGGGAACCCACCCTTCCTCCCCACAGGGTTTATATTCAGGGCCTTGACCCAGGTCCAAGGCAGAACCCACCCAAAATGTCTATGACTAAAGGCAGGATTTGGTTGGGGATAAATTTGATGCCATCCAGGTCCACATTCAAGAAAAGGTAGTATTATCTACATCAACATGTGGCCCTTCTCATTCATCAAGACTTCTTAAATTAAAAAAAAAAAACATGCCAGAGAACGTATCCCTGGTGGCTTTTAGACCCATTTTCCAGACAGCACTGGGAGTTGGGTTGATTTGCTTAACTTCTTAAAGTCAGTGCAGAGAATGGATCTAAACCTTGGCCTTTGCTTCTGTCCTACAGTAATATCTACTTGACAGTGTAACTGCTGGAAATGTTCACTGTTAATACCAACTTGGCCAACTGAAGGGAGTTACATGTCTTGCCCTCAGGGTACCAAGAAGTAGCTATAATGCAGGCCAAACTCTACTCCATAAACTGGAAGATTCCCCACCACCATTCTAAGTGCTCCGTGAAGACAGGAGTGTGACTTATGTTTTGTTTTTCAACATTGGGTGTTTGCTCTGTGACAGGCTGAGTGCCTGACGTGAAAATCTTATCTCTGACATAGGTATGATTGAGTTCTCATTTTGCCAAAGAAGAAAGCAAGGCTCAGGGGATTTAAGTTACCCTGTCAAGATTGGCCAGCGGGTCAGGAGTAAAGGCAGGATTGCAATACCTGTCTACCCTACTCCAGACAGACAAGACTTTAGTTCTTAAATGCTCCCTGGCCTCAGGAGGCCTACACTAAGTGTTTATCGAGTCAGATCCCAGGTTGAGGCTCCATGAGAATGTTACTTATGGTCACACCATACAGTCTCTTAAATAAAAGAACCATCTTAAACGTCTACCGTGAGAACTGTTAGCCAGATTGGGACTCTGGCCAAACTACAGCCCAGACTCATCAGAAAATCAAACCCATTCTCTTGTGAGGGGGCGGCATTCCGCCCTCAGAATTTGGGGCAGGGGGCTGTGCAGAAGGCCCAGACGTGATCCCCACGGCTGTCTCCATTTTTACCTGCATGGCCAAGCAGAGTGTGTTGAGCATGATGAGGACAAACATCATGTATTCGAAAGGCGAGGAGTTCACCACGTACCAGAACTTGTACTGGTAGGGGTTTTTGGGGATGTATCTCCGCAAGGGACGTGCTTTCAAGGCGTATTCAACACACTGACGCTGCAACGGCAGAAAAGAGCAAGGAGGAGTCCTGAGCATATCCATGGGAGGAGGACACAGGTCTCGTCTGCTCTGAACGCACATCCACTGTGAAGGGCTGTGAACCAGCGAAGCCACAACAGCGACCCCCATCAGCACCACACCACGTCACATCACTGGCCATACCAGCTCCGCCATCTCATCGGCTCCTCAAAGCAACCTGGGGTGTGGGTGAATGGAGCACCCAGGTTGCTTCCATTTTCCTCATTAAAGCAGAGGTCTAGCCTGGGCAGTGGCTTGCCTGAGGTCCTGTGGGCAGCAGAGGAGTGAGGCCTGATGCAGGCCTTGTCCCTGCCCTTCCTCTATGCCCATGTGTTATGCCTGCCCTTCTGCCCATGCCACCTCAAGGAAAGGAAGCCAGGTAACAAGAGGCACAGAAATCCTCCAGAACCCCAGGGGCTGGGCTCACTCCCTGAGACTGGAGCCACACGAGATAGCTCAGTCAGACCATACTAACCACGTGAGTCTGCTAGTGAAGTAGCTGTGTGTTTACCTGGGACCTTCTGAAACTCAGGAGCTTGTCATGTTCATCTCAGAATCCCCAGGACATGGTAGTAATGATGGCCAGAGCACTGTCCTTCCCACTCACTCTGGGGCTGAGACTGATCCACCCTTTGCAGCCCAGAGGGAGCCTCCAACCCCTTTGGCTCAGCTTAAGGTGCCACTTGCTCCTAGATCCAGACCTACTCCCATTCTCTTGCTTTGACCTTGGCTTCTGACTTCAGACAGGTACCCTCTGTCTAGGATCTGGCCCTGCTGTGACCTCACACACTGACTCCAGGGACCCCTAATTCAAATCTGTTCTGGACCTCAAGAGGTGACACAATGGTAGCTCTGGTTCTGCTACCTGGCCAGCCTGGCTTTGCCCTGCTATTCTTCCGTGGGCTGCGAGGTGGGGATAACAGGGGATGAAGAAGAGCTGTGCCAGGCGTCCCGCTGACCGTCACTGACAGGATCTGAAGGGAAGCTCTGACAGCTCAAAGCAACATCTTTCTACAAACCCAGCTGGTTTTGTCCTCACTTCCCCAGGGGGCACAGTTGCAGCCCAAGACAGACTGCCTCATTACAGCCACTTCCCTTCAGGAAGCCCAGGTTGGCAGATGATCCCTACTCCTTACATCATCATCAAACAGGGGTGCTATCGAACCAGGGCCCAGGGGGAACTTCCAGAGCATACTCTCCCTCTCACATCTGGAAGGGACCTCTAGCAGGGACTCCTGGGAGCCCTCAATCTAGAAAGAAGGGAGCAAGCCCAGAGAGGAGGAATTCTCCTCTCTCACATCATCATGCAATCAGAGCAGAGGGCCCCCCCGCTGCTATTAGATTGGTTTGAACAAGACAGTAGCTAATGAGAGAGTGACACCAGTATAATCTTAGACCTAGGTTTAAAGTGAGTGACTCTCCCTGCAGTGGGATAGGACACTTCCTTCTAAATCAATGGTTCCCAAGCAGGAGACATTTGGCACTGTCTGGAGGACTCTTTTGGTTGTCAAGACTCAGGGCAGTGCATTGCTCATAGAACTGAGTGGGTAAAGGGCCAGGGATTCCACCCAACATCCTACAAAGTACACAAACCTCAACAAAGAATTACCTAGCCTAAAATGTCAATAGCACTGAGGTTGAGGAGATCAGACACGATCCCCCCACTAAGGACTGTGGGAGGAGCAGTGGGTACTTCCCAGCCCCTGGCCACATCCCCCACCAAGATTCTGAGCCATCACTAGTGGGTCACAGCCACAGAAGGTGGCCTAAGTATTCTTTGACTTCTCATCCACAGAGTGGGGTGGGTTTCAGAATTACAAGGTCTCCTCTGTGTCTGGAAAGCTCACTCTTCCCAGCAGTAACTCAAACTGGCTGAGAGGGTGCTGTAAACGAGGCCTGAGCCCGAGGGACAGCCAGCGGGTGCATGCCCTTCTCTGTGCTTGGAGGAAACTGGCAAAAGACAAGCCACTACTCCTCTCTTGCTCAAGGGACAGAAGCCCAAACAGTGTGTGACTTTAACCTGATTTTTGTCCAGCTCACAGTTCTTATACTCTTTCTCTCCCTGCTCCTGAAATGTGACGATGACGAAGCCCACAAAGATGTTCATCATGAAGAAAGCCACGATGATGATGTAGATGATGAAGAAGATGGAGATCTCCACGCGGTAATTGTAGACGGGGCCGACATTCTCTCCATTTGAGTCGATGGCTTTATACAGTAACCTGGTGAACAGAAGAACCAGGTGAGCCCTACTACCTGCTCAGCCCAAGTAGCCCAACTGTGCACCTTTTCTGACAGCCTCTGAGGGCCCTTCCTGTCAGACCCCCCCCCCAGCCCCTGGACAGACAGACAGACAGACAGACACACACACACACACACACACACACACACACTCAGATGTCTCCTCAGCATTAAGGCCCAATACCCAGAGGAGGGAACACCTGAGATACATTTGGTGATGGATATTTTGAGGGCTAAGAAACAGATTTTATGGATATTCAACAATGCCCCCTTCTACTGACAGCAGAGAGGAAGGATATCACATGTAAGACACTGGTGGAACTGAAACCTGTACACATGCCAACAAAGATAATAAGCAAGCAACCCAGGATTTCCAAAGAACTAAGAGAGGTTCCCCAAAGTGAAATATACGCAGAGATTAAATATAGGCTAAGCAGAACTCTCAACAGGAGGGGGAGAGTTACTGTAACACCCCCAGGGTAAATTTATCCCCCCACTGATGCAGATTCAGCTGCCAAGGAACCCATCCCATGGCGCGCTGTCCAGATGGACACTTACACATCCATCTGGAAAGGCAGACATTACAGTCATCCCCATCATTTGGGAGTTTAGGGAGGGATCTAAGCGACCAAAATCCCATTCCTTGGGGGCAGAATCAGGAGATGAGCCCAGCTCCTCTGAGCACTAAGTCCCAAGTCTACTCATTTCCCCTCAGCTGCCACCCTGGTTTACTAAAGCACACTGTTGAAAACCCAAGACTGCAGCCATAGCCAGTGCCTCCCCAAAGTGAAGGGGCTTTACTCCTGCCTCTTTGCTCCCCAGCCCAATTCCCTAATGAACAAACCCCACCCAACTGTCCTATTACTCCACAGGATCTCCTTTAAATAACTCCAACTCTCCCATGCATCCAGAGAGTTCTGCCAACCCGAGAGAACCAACTCATCCACCTTCTGCAGTTCCTCTGGGCATGGCAACTTGACACTGGGGCCTCTTGAGGGATGTATGCTCGGGTGGCAGGGGCAGGAGCTGGGGTGGGCATCAGAACACAGAGCACCAAAGGTGCAAGAGACTTTCCTTTTGTATTTTCCCTTCTTTCTTCTTTCTGTGTGTGTGTGTGTTTTAGCTTTACTCATCAAAATCCCAGCCATTCTTCAGAACCCTACTCTGTGCATCTCCGACACAGTAGGCCCTCCTGTCTGATTGGACTATGTGATACTGACTAGGTTTGGTCCCCAAAGGGAGGAACATGCTGAGCCAAGCGTTTCTCCCACTGCTAACCCAACACATCGCACGGAGCTGAACCAATAGCACGCTTCATGTGTGAGCGAGCGAGTGGGCCAGTGAAAGACGTGACGTGTCGGCAGCCATCTGTGTCCGGCACACAGGAGCACTGGGAATAGGTGTTCTCCATACTTACGCAGGCCAGCCCTCGAACGTGGAGACCGTGAACAGCGCCATCATAGCAGAAAGGACGTTGTCAAAGTTAAAATCGCTGTTTTGCCAGATTCTCTCCCGGACCACAGGGTTATCAACATCCCCATCCTTGTAGAGGATGAAAAGCCCCCTAGAGAGGAAAAGAAGTGTGGGTCGTCCTGGCTTGACATGAAATCAGTCCCAGCGGCCCCAAGCCCACGTACGGGCACCATCATGCTCAGTCTGCCCGCCAGCATGTTTGTCATCCTGTTGCCCTGCATTTAATCTACTCTAAGATTCCAATAATCATCGAGTACCTACTAAGGTTAAGCATCCTCCAGAGCCGCTAAGCAGACATTTAGCATATGCCTGATAACAAATGAAACCTACCGAATAATAAATGCTCTCATGGATAAATGGGCTCAAAGCATATATGGAAGGATCAGAAGCTCTGGCCTGGAGAATTCCATAAGCTCTGGAGAACAAACAAGCCCAAGGTATCTTTTTTTTTTTTTTTAGATTTTATTTATTTATTCATGAAAGACAGAGAGAGAGAGAGAGGCGCAGAGGCAGAGACACAGGCAGAGGGAGAAGCAGGCTCCATGCAGGGAGCCCGACATGGGACTCAATCCAGGACCCTGGGATCATGACCTGAGCCAAAGGCAGATGCTCAACCACTGAGCCACCCAGGTACATGCCCCCCACCCCCACCTGGGTATTCTCTTATCTACGCTTTGGTTGTCATCAAATTCCTCCTCTTTGTACTAACAATACTCCCAGTTTTCCTTGTTAAGATAATTCTATAATTTCTGGTACACAATATTTGTCATTGAATTTCATTTCAGGAAAGGGGCCAATGCCTTTATGTCACAGAGGGGAAAGGGAAAGGGCTTAGGGAGAGAAGAGAAGGGGTCTTCTGTCTGTTCTCATGCTGCTCCATGGCAGGAGGCACCCCCGCCCCACAGCCTACATGGAGGGTGGCCCTGGTGGTGCACAACCAGTCACCATGCAACTGGCACACTCTGACTTGCACCTTCTGTTGAAAAGAAACCCCAAACAATTGTGAGCAGTGCCAGCAGCCAGACCTCAGTGGCGCCATACCCAAGGAATAGGGAAACACGGACTACATGGTCTTACAACTCTGGGCAGTGGTTCCATGCCTTGCTTCACATTCTTCTGGACATCTTGGGATAAGAGACACAGGTGTTTCCCACCTTGTCTCTCTTCTGTCCATTCTTGTGAAGAAAAATATGCCCAAATGTGGGTGTTGGGAGTATGGGGAGAAAGGTAGTCTGAAGAACCTGTCAGAAGGGGCTAGCCAGCTCTGGAATGCCAGAGAGTGGAGCTTTGAGTTCTGGTTTGGGAAAAAATTCCCCAAGTGGCTGGAAGGAGGGGCTCTCTGGGGCATTTCATAATTGTTATTTTAGGTTTTAGGGCACTCCTTCTCCCCATTTAGAGAATCTATGGCAAACACCAAAAGCCATCTCTCCATTCTTTTGGGGGTGATGAAGGTTTGGAACTAGATCAAGGCCATGCTTGTATCACAGTTTGATTGTACTAAATGTCACCAAATTGCAGTTTAAAATGATTAATTTCATGATATGTGAATGTCATCTCAAATGAAACCACCCCCCCATCTCTCCAGCCACGAGCTGAGCACATAAGACTCTTGCAGTCCATGATGAAAACTTGTGAAATGTGAGCACAGTCAGATCCTTGAAATTTTCTATTCTTCCTCATTCATTCCCCACTCTCACATTCAGGACACTCACCTGCACTCTTCGGGGTTACTTTTGGCTTCATCTGTACAGCGATAGAACTTTCCCTACATATAAAACAGACGGGCAGTCAAATGCAGGCTCCCTGCAAAGTGATCAGCTGGGCTTCATGCCAGAAGGCACATTCCCCGTACCTTGAACAACTGTACTCCGATGCAGGCAAACATGAACTGGAGAAGGGTGGTGACGATCATGATGTTGCCAATGGTCCGGATGGCCACGAAGACACACTGGACCACATGCTGGGGAGAGAGGAGCGTTATCTGCCTCTGTTGTTTGAGTCTTGGGGTGAGCTAATATTAGCCAAGGTTTTCTACGTTTATGTGCATTTTTATATGATTTTCCAACTTTGCATTCCCTTGCACTGGTTTTTCAGGTAGTTATCTGTGGGGAGACCCCTGGTGCATTGTGGCCACCAGGGAGAAGCACCCCTATAGACCAGCCCCTTCCCTGGTTTCCTCCAAAATGGTTTAGTTCAAAGAAACACTATAGGGCACAGCACTGCCTGGCACACAGGTCCACAGGGACCCCTGCCCCCCCATAGATGGACTCTGGAAATGCAAAACCTCTGACCTTTTACACAACCTGCATGAAAATAGATTTAAAGACCAAAATAATCCCGAGAAAATATTAATAATTTTAAAAATATATAGTAATCACGTTAAAAAAATAAATTAACAAAGATAAAGAAAATCGTTCGTAAAATGCTTTCAGCACTTGCCAGAGGCAGTGTCACTGGTTAGAAATGCGATTTCCAAACGTATAACCTTGTAAAATCTATCATGCCTCAGCCCACCTCTGGCCCCAACCAAAGTAGCTTGGCCCAGAGGGCAGACGCCCAAACCTTAAGTCCTTTTGCTCTGTTTATTGCCCTGAGTGGCCGCAGGACCCTTAAGACCCTCAGAATCTTCACAACGGAGATGGCACTGGATCTAAGGAAAGAGCAAAGAATGAAGGCAGGGTGTATTACAGTCGGATAAAATACTTCAAAATTATTGCAGGTGGTCTTCACTGTAGGACGACTGCCCACGTGGAGCTGAGCTCACCTCCCACTGTGACACACACATACACAGACACACACACTCTCTCACACATGGGTCTTTCTCTGTCCTGTACACACTCCACAGCCCATCCTGGGCCAGGCCAATAGGCATTCACAGATGGAAAAGGGGCAGCTTATTTCAGATATATTTCAAAAGAAGAAACCAGTCTAGACTCCATTCCAGCCCTTACTTGTGTGTCATGATTTAGGAATTTGCTTTGTTGTTTTCACTCTATGTAAATGCTAGGCAGTCCTTGGCTTTTAGGCTGTGGTCTTGTTTGGTGGGTTTTGCTTTCTAAGTTGGGAGACCTGCTCTGTGCTGGACTTCTCCAGCCTCCTACTTCAATGTTGGGTGGTAGAGACTCCATCACCACCTGTATGGTGGTGGAGCTGACAGTGGAGAGGATGCACTGCCAGGAGAGCACATCCTAGGGGAGCCTGGGAGGTGGTAGCCAGGTGAGTCCCAGGGAGAGGGGCAGGTTAGCTAGAAAAGGGGGAAGGGGCTCCAGGCAGAGGGAGCTGCACTAGAAAGGCCCCAAGTGGGAGAACGCAGTTGATGGGGCCCTGTAGATGGCTGGAACACATGCTTGGGAGGCAGTGACAAGGGCTGCAGGGAGAAGGTAGGTGCAGCTGGGAATTTCTGGAAGCTACAAAGATGCTGTGAGAATGTCCCTCCAGCTGTAACTCCTGGCTTCCCCCCGCCCCCCGCCCCGGGCAGTGGTAGGAGGTAAGGACTAACACAGAGGGCTGTCTCAGGTACGGGTCTTTAATTTCCTGAGGGGGATGCAGCCTCTCCATTGAACTTAGGCTCAGAGGTTATAGGTGAGCATCTGTTCTCATATGGGGTACTGATGGCCATCACCTGAGCATAGGTACCTCTAATCAGCAGAAAAGGGGCATGTGGGTGACTCAGTGGTTGAGCACCCTGGGGTCCTGGGCTTGAGTCCCACATTGAGCTTCCCCTGGGGAGCCTGTTTCTCCCTCTGCCTGCGTCTCTGCCTTTCTGTCTCTCATGAATAAATACATAAAATCTTTAAAAAAAAATCAGCAGGGAAGCATGGCCACTGTGGGATGCTCCTACTGGAGCCTCTGCCCAGACCCCTGGGTCGAATAGACAGGCAGTGTGCAGCTGGGGCATCTGCAAAGGCCATGGAAAGGCCCTAGGGCCCTAACTTATAGCATCTGCCCCTCCTAGCTGAAAATTGTAGAAGCCAAGAGGAAGGGGTCATGGCAGCTGTCCTATCCTGGAGGTCGAGGAAGAAGCCTTTGATATCCAAGCTGAAAGGGCCCCCAGAGGCCCTCTCCTACCTCGTATGAGAACTAAGGTCCTCGAGGGACCCAAGCTAGAATCTGACTTCCCTCTCTCTCATCAAGACTTCTCTGTTGAAAGCAAATATCACACAGAATAAGAATTCCAACCTGGCAGGGGGCATGGAGAGAAGCAGGAGAAAGCATGAACTGTCCCAATGCTTTCCAGCGTGCACACAAATCAAGCTTTCCCAGGTAACTTCATGTAATTGTTAAAATAATGCCAGGCCTTTATGACTTACATTAAAATTCCTCACATAAACCACCCTACCCAACAGTCTTCTGCTCACACTCCCACACTCACCCCAGAATACTTACTGAATCCCAAATGATACCAGTGACACCCCAACAACCAGCATATCCAGCAGATTGAAGTAGTTTCTGCAGAAAGCCCCTTTGTGGAGGAAAGCTCCAAAAGTCGCCATCTAGAAACAGAAGCATGAGTGATTTATGGATTTTTTTTTTCCTCTCAGAAGAAACAAAACCTGGGCTCTTTACAAGACCTTGAGAAAAGTATGACTTTATTAACAAGCATGCATTAGGAAGCCAGAAATGTAAACCAACAGGGCTGAGCAACCAAATATTTGTTCAAAGATGGAAAAGGGAAGGTTATTTCAGATATATTTCAAAAGAAGAGACCAGTCTAGACTCCATTCCAGCAATGACAAACTGCACGTAGGAACCCAGCATGGGCAGGTCCAAAGAGCCTGTCACAGAAGGGTTTCCACATGGCCCTGCTCATCAGGATGTCATAGCTGCACAGATAACTTGGCTGCCCCACAACATGCTAGCTCTGGCCCCTGAGGCCCCAGGAAAGCCTTTGTCACCCCAGCATGTCTTCCCAGTGGGGCTGGCAAAAGCACTGGCCAGTGCTCAGAGGCTCTGTTCAGAGAGACTTGCATGGCTTTACCGGGTGGGCCCTTGCCTGCTGCTAATGGCGCTCAGCGAGACCCAGTTTAAATGGCACCTCCAAGTCCAGTGACTCGATCATGTGCAAGGTGTGGTTGGGAAGCTTGCACAGGCCTCTCCCCTAGGCAGTCACCCAGCTCTGGAGTCATATGCCACATGCACCAGGCACCCACACCACGGGTGCTCCAGAGAGTTGCCTACTGGCAATGCAAAAGTTTATTGAGGAAGTTTCCAGAGTAAAAACAGTAAAGTACATAGAGTTCACTGTGCATTTAAAAAAAGAAAAAAAGTTGAAGGCTCAGGTGAGTCCAGGATAAGAGGGCTAAAGTCGGGAAGCTGTTACCATATGAAATTGCCAACACGCCATTGTTCTTGACCCATAAAAATGGTAATTTTTATTTTTTGATACGGTTCAACTAAATCGTCACATAGCCTCCCGGGCCTTCCCATGGCTAGCAGGAACCACCACTGCAGAAGCTAGATGCTCCTTGACAAATCTCCATTCTCTGAATCTTTCTGGCTTTAAGTTTTGTTTTCCACACCCTCTAACACATCTTTAAAATGAAGAATAACTTGGAAGATTGTAAGCCACTGAGGCAAATATCCAGAAATTTAAAAGCATTAATTGTTTTTTATCTCTTTTAAATAACCCTGTATCTCATTTGCCCCCATGCCCAAAAATAACTGTCTTCATTTAACAACTAAAAAATATGGGAAGTAAAATAAAACCTCGATGAACCAGGCTAACAGATTAAGTGGAGCATGTCCCCCAGTTTGAGGAAACTTAAAAAAAAAAAAAAAAAAAAAGGCAGCTCAGGGAATCAAATAGAGGCAGGATGAGTGTCCTTGACCTCTAACCCCTGTGTATTATGTGTCTGTGCTCCTCACTATAGTGACGCTGTTAGAATTGCTAACCTGGTACGGTTCTCACTGAGAACTGTCAGCCACAGTTACTGGCTTCAAGGCAGGAAAGTAAATATGAATTTTTAGACTTTTAACAAAAGTTTAAACAGAGGTTGGTTGGTTTTGTGCTGATGTTATCATTAAACAAAAATAAAAGAAAGTAACTCGAAGTACCCCATTCCCCAACAAAGTTCATCGAGGTTTCATTTTATAAAAGGTTTTATAAAGAGCCCAAGTTTCACAGGAGTCTAACATAAAATGCATTTTCCCCCCTGAGATGCACACATAAAAACTCAAAATGGTTTAAAAGAAAATTGTAGTGAAAATTTCCCAGCTTGTCTTCGCACTAGCAGATGATTGCTCTGACCATTGTCAAGGGTCACGCTGTCCTGGGACTGCAATGACCCATGCCACTTAGTGAGTCAGGGGGCTTCTTGGCTGTCTGCTGCGGGTCTTCAGACCTCTGAGTGCACAGGGAATGAGCTCGCCCCAGATGGCCTTCACAGTCAGTACACAAACCACATGCAGTAATGGCAACTGTGAGCTCATGCATGGGCAGTACATTTAGGGTGCCCCGTCCAAAGGGTGCCCTTTTTGTTTGCATAAATGTAAGCCCATCCATCAAAACAGATACAAAATATCTCAATGCAAATAGACCCGGGTTATCTTGCAAATCCCATTGCAAGAAAATAGTGTGTTACTATTTCAGGCCACTGAAAACAGTTCAAAGAAATGAAGAGAGATACATTCCCTTCATAGGATAAGTGCTTTTCCTCTGACTTTGAGGTCAGGAAAGGTGGAAGAAGGTTCACACAAAGTGCTGTATCTGTTATCAGATGACAAATTTCAGAGGATATGTTTAAAGAGGAGCAAAATATTTCCAGTCACTATAATGAAGCCAAAGTTGCTCCTACATGCACTTAAAGGTTAAAAAGAAACAGCAAAAACAAGTTGAATGATTACAGGAAAAAAAAATCCTTTGGTTTTAAAAAAAATAAAAGTGTAGCTTGATCACAGAAGGCAAAAAATAAATATAGTCAAAAGCACTTCACGCTTCTTTGCCGTGTGTCACACAGGAGCGGGCCCCTTAGACACACTGCTGTGGAACCTGTTACCTTCAAAACGATCTCAAATGCAAAAGTACCAGTGAAGACATAATCTGCATAACCTAGCATCTGGAAGGTAAACAAAGAATTGCAACTATTATTGCTACAGCTGCTTTAGAGTATATGAGGATCAATGAAAAAGCCATTACCTTTAACAGGATTTCAACAGTAAAGATGGCTGTGAAAGCATAGTCAAAGTAACCCAGTATCTGCAAGGTACAACATGTTGGACATAAGAAACAGGCATCCGGACAAACTCTGACAGCTGCACGCCCCCAGGCAGGACCCCTGCATGCAGTCAGACACCCGTTCTCCAGGGATAGGCCGGCCACTCTGGGGGCAGGTGCGCCCATCTGGCCGCTTGCAGCTCCTCTTTGCGACCAACAAAGAGCATCTGGGGACTTACCTCCTTCAACCACTCATGTGGGCTCTCTTCCCTGTCTCCTGTCACGGATGGACAGAGGTTCATTTCTACAAGCGCTTTATTAATAACCTTTGCTCATCGGAGCACCGCATTGACAAACTGGTGACAAAAGACTGGAGGCTTATATCCATTTTGGATTTTTAACAGTTTTTGGCTGAATGAAATAGGTTGTCATCTAGCTTAGCTTCGGATAGGTGGGGAAATGTAAATAAAGGTGTAAATGGCATCCAGTGGGGCCAAAAGCTTCCACATGCCCCTTCCAATTCCAGCCCGTGTCATCAGGGAGTAAATGCCCTTTCTTCACTGGGGTGCAGGGCTGGAGAAGTCCTCAGGGAAGAGTCTTACTTTGCAAGTGAACTTGTATTTTTACTTATAAAGTAACTTGTAAAGTAAAACTCTTGGCCTCTGCTCCATATCTAACACTGCTCTCCCCCAGCACTGGGATCTTGTTTGGTTTTTACTTAGCTGGGCACACTCAAAGAACAGACTGACCTGGCCTTTGAATTATTAGTCCAGGCTATTTTATCAGTATTCCTGAAAATGCCATCTACTCCCCTACTGAGTCCTGCTCAGAGAACTCTTCCTGGGTTTCTGCATCTTCTCAGAGCTACTGGGTGGGCAGGTGAGTGGTGCAGGGGGTTTGTGGGGGGGGGTGTGGCAAGAATCTGACTGCTCAACTAAGGATGCTCACAGGGGACCCTCAACCACAAAGATGGCAGCCAAGACTGCCACTTACAGAGGCCTTCTGGCTGCTGTTCTTTTTCACAGTTATGCTCTATGGCTTTGAAAGAACTGAAGAGATCAGAGCTAAAGAGACTGTGGAGACCCCTCAGACCAACTCCCTTCAGGTAATAGATGAGGATGCTGGGAAAGGGTCAGGGGGCAGCTGCTCAAGCCACACAGCTGGTCACAGCATGGCTGGGCAAGGAATGAGGTCTGCAAAATGCTAGTTGAGAGCCCCTCAGGATGGGATTCAGCCCAGGGGAGCCCTTTACTGCTCCACCACAGTCAGGGAGGGCTCCTGCTACAAAGGCCAACTGTCCTCAGCTGAAGTTCTCCAGAGAGTAGTCATTGTCCAAACCATTTCTGTTTTGAGATTTATAGATCTTGATGGAAACCTTTTGTAAATTTGTATTGCTAGCCAGGCAATGAAAGGTATTTCCAGTACACTGCAAACCCCTGCCCCTTCCCCCATACCCCATACTAGGTCACAGAAGGACCGTTCATGTTGAAAAGCACCCATGTAGTCAAGGCAGACACCACTGCCCACATACCAACAACCCAACTTGGTGCTGAAGGTCAAAGCTCTCAGATTCATGTTATTCTTTGTTCATTTACTCCTTGTTTACTAATAACTCAGCTAAGGTAAAAACAATAACAACAACAAAACCACTGCTTGAGTCCACTTACAGGGGGTATCTAAAGTAGTCAAACCCTTAGACAGAAGGTAGAGTGGATATTGCTAGGGGCCAGGGAAGAGAGAAATGGGAAGATGTTCAACAGGTATAAAGTATCAGACATGCAAGATGAGTAAGTTTTGGAGATCTGCTGTACAACACAGTGTCTACCATTAAGAATGCTGGCTCGTACACTTAATTTATCAAGAGAGTAGATCTCACGTTAAGCATTCTCACCACAATCAACACTGTAGTATTTGACAAGTAATACACGTACGTACACACGTACACACACACACACACACACACACACACACATCTGTTTAAAAAGAACAATAACGTTGTTGGAAAGAGCAGCCAGGAAATAAACTCATGGGGAAGTAATCAAAATAAAAAATAAGAACATGAGGCCCCATGTCAATTAACTCCTTGTCAATCTGTGCTCTAGACTAGCTCCTGACCTAGTCTGTCAATAATGGTATTTTTTTTCCAAACAGCTTCTTCCTCTTGTGCTTCCTTTCTGTGATGGAGCTCAATGACACCGAGGTCTTCACTCCGTTTGAACATTTAGAGAGACGGTCTCAGAACCTCTAACACAAGCCCTGATCTGTGAGTGCAGATTAAGACACGTGCATGGCCTTTGTCTTTCCATCAACGCCAATATGTGCCTTAGGAAGGAAGTTCTTTAACATCTGCATAGCAGAGCGCCCATGTTTTATCAGTCTGATAGATCAGGTCTGCCAAGCTTCAAACCAAAAGCACTGGAAATGAAAAGACACAGCACAAGGCTTGACGGTCTCAACCCAAATCCTGGGACACTGATCTGGTGATTTGTCTGAATCTTCAAATCTCTCAGAATCTGAGGTACCCAGAGAGGTACTAACCAGGCAGCAATGCTGAATGGCCGCACATGCACACTTGCAGGCCTCCCTCCTCTGGGTTTCCTTGATCATCACCTGAAATTGTACTATAGTATCAAGGCCAGAGCAATCAACAGACTGCTGGTCTTCTGAAGTGGTGATGTCACCATTGGGTTGGTCTTTGTTCTCAGAGCTGAATGAGCTGAACTGTTAGGATGGGGCTGCTTAGAGGCAAGAACTATTTGAGAAATAGTTTCTGTATAGCACAGATGCAGTGGAAGCGTGCTCTCCCTAAAGTACAAAACTGATAACAGAAACCTTAACTGTCGACTTGTTTTCTTTGTAAAACCCCTCCCTGGCCCCACCAAAACATAGTTCTTCCTCTCCACTGCACCACTCAGTTCCACACACCATGGCCCCCCTGCCACTTGTGTTTCCCCCAATAACAAAACCAAGTTGCTCTGTGAATTTCAGCCTATGTCCCTAAATGAGAGCTTCTGGGCATGTGACATACCTGATTCCACTCCTAATTTCTCTCCTGCTGGATGCTACCAAGTGGGCAGAAACCTCAAAATAGGGGTGGATGTGAATTTGACCAGGGAGGCGAAAAGAGGGACCAGGGCGTTGGCAGCAAGGAACGAAGAGGAGGAGAAGAGGGCCTCTGAAGGCACTTTAAGTTACTGCAGAGTATTTAAAATGAAGTGTAGTGGACGGGATTCGAAACAGGTTTGTCGTGATGAGACAAATCCCCCTGCCTGGCACTCACATCCCGAAATACCAGATGCCTCCAGGTGCATGAGAGGCCTCCTCTACCCTTTAGCCCTGCCTGAGTGACCGGTGCTCATCCCAGAGGAAGACCCGCCCACCTGCCCCTGCTCTGTGGCTTACAGTGTTCCGGAAGGAGTGGCTGCGGATGGGGTCCTCGGCGGCAAGGGCGGCGCTACTCAGCATGATGAAGACGAGGATGAGGTTGGTGAAGATGTGGTGGTTGATGAGCTTGTGGCAGCCCACGCGGATCCTGTGGGGAAAGCCGCTGCATGGACACAGCCCTGGGCAAGGCCAGGGCCTTCTGCATGCTGGGGCTACTCGTGGTGACACGTCAGGCAGAGGACAGCTGTCTGCCTGCTACCCATGCTCGCACCTGGCCAACCAGAGCCACCTGACTGTGAGCCCCTGCAAAGTCCCAGAAGGCAGACCCCAAAGGCCCACAGTGCCACAGCTCTGTGTGGGGGCTCCATAGACATCATTCATCAAATCCTTAAAAGTGGGTATTATTGTCCTGCTCCAAGTGGAGAAACTGAGGCTTAAGCATTTGAAATGTGTTAAGGTGATGCAGCTAGTAAGGATTGAGGGAAATTTCCAATCCAGCAGGACGGTAATAGTTTCCCACTAGGACATGAAGCCCAGTGGCTTCCTTTCCCTGCCTTAGGAAGGAATCTGAGCTCAGAGCTCATTGCAACAGCTCACAAGAATGAGAGCAATGCGTGAAGGGGATCCAGGGGTACAAACTTCCAGTTATAAAATAAACAAGTCACGGGGATGAAAAGTACAGCATAGGGAATATCATCAATAATATTGTAATAACGTTATCGTTGTGAGCACTGCACAATGTACAGACTTGTCAAATCACTATGCTGTGTGCCTGAAACCAATAGGCTATTGTATGTCAACTAGACTTCAATTAAGAATTAAAACTTAAAAAGGAGACGAACCCCTTTTTTTACACTGCAGCCTGGCTGTATGAAAATGTAGTAGACAGGCTGGTAAAATCTCCTGTTACGTGGAGATTCTGTCATAAGTGCTTTTTGTTTTTGTTTTTAAACTTTGGAGTCAACCCACAAGCACACCTAAGAAAGTGGAGTGAAAGTTGCATCATGCAAGAATTGTATAGGGATCTTATGAACCATGTGACAGTCTTCAGTGTCCTGTTGCCCCTGAGATCCCAAGGGCTAATTATGCCAGACTACCCTTAACCTCAACATTTGATTTTAGAATTGAAAGATTTAATTTTTAGCCTATAGAATACATGCATATTTTCCCTTGAAAATATTTTCCTTTTTCACTTTCAAAACTAGAGTCAAGTTTATGAGAAATCTCCCTTTTGGGGCTGCTTCATGCTGGGATGTGCCCTGGGAGGGCCTGCAAGCTGTTAGCAGGTGAGTCTGGGGAAATAATCCAAAGCAGTGAGTGCAGGAGTGTTCACAGCTTTGGGGGACGTCAATCCATTCCTTCAATATATGTGGACCCAGTGAGCTGTAGGCCTCAGTAACATCAGCTCAGTATCTTTTTTTAAAGAGACACCCAGGGGTGCCTGGGTGAATCAGTTAAGCAGATTTTGACCTCAGGGTCCTGGGACTGAGCCCAGAGTCAGGCTAGGGAGACTCAGTGGGAAGTCTTTCTCCTTCTGCCCTCCCTCTGGCTCATGCTCTCTAATAAGTAAATAAAATCTTTTTTTAAATTTTAAAATAAAGAGAATACTCAAACTCTCAACAGTGATGAGCTATAAAAACTACTATCAAATCCTCAAGTTACTAAGGACTGCAGCCTTGCTTCCCACCTATGTCTCCCTGGGGACTGTGAATTCCACAGCATCCTTCTCTGGCAGTCAAGAAATGCTTCTATAATTCTAGAAACCTTTCCAGGAGCTATTCATTCTCCCTGGTATGCCATCTGTCTCAGATGATTTAAAACCTAGAAACCAGCTAGTAAATAAATGTCATCCTCTTGCAGTACTTGTAAGTACCGTGCTCCTGGTGAGTACCATATCAATTTAACATGAGAAATGCTATTTTAAACAGGATATCATAGGGCTGAATTGAATAGCTACCACCTATAAAATATCAGTGAACAATATCACTCCATCGCCATAAAACCCAGTAGGGAACAGGTGACCAACTAAACTGGATCTCAAAATGAAGATGCTATGCAGAACTTGGTCACAAAATTATCATCCTCAGAGCATCTCAACAAAAGGGCCCACTCATGAAGAAAGGGTCCTCTGGATGGAAAACACAGGTGACAACCGTGGACACCTGAGCCATGGGCTCTGACTAGTACAGGGGCTAAGGGGGAGGAGAGTCTGGGATGGCACCTCTCCTCGGAGCCAGTCATACTCCTAACAGCACCTCCATACAGGAATGGGACAGCCAGGAAGAGACTGACAGAGGAAAAAGGCAGGCTGGGGCAAGAGAGGGGTCAGAAAGGACTCAGGGACTCCAATGCAAAGGCACAGAGAAGGGCTGTGAACCACCCTCCTTTACCCCATCTGCAGCATCCCCTCGAGCAATCTGGAGGGTGACAGGTGAGACACAGCAGCAATGAAATCAGAAACTGAGTATTTACGGGTTGGTCTTGCTCAGAATGAAGAATGCACTTCCTTCGGGGATGGGGGCGATTTTCTCCTTCATGTTCAACTCTGAGATTCTGCGAGGACGGGGGCCAGCAGGAACCTCAGGTTCATCCTCTTCCTCCTCCTCTTCCTCTTCCCCTACTGTAAATGAGACACTTTTTTTTTATAGGCATGAAATAACACGATTGCATTTGGGTTTGAATTATTGTTCGCAATTTCATATAGAAAGCAAACTTTCACATCTATTAGCTTACATTAATGAAAACCCTTCCGAATATGGACTGAGTTCCTGTGAAGGGCTGAGAAGCGTGCCTGTCTGTGAGTGTGCAGTACTGGAAAGAAGGTTCCCAGCAGTTCCAGATCTAAGCACAGGTAGCGGGTACTGGCAGTGGGATTCTCACTGCTATAACTCCCAGTACCCAGCTGTTTCCCCAGTAGCCTTGCTCAGCTTCACCCTGAAAAACTGCGTGAGACTTCAAGCCACACACAACCATTCCTACCCCCTGACCCCCTCCCCCACAGTCTCTGCTACATCAGCCAATAAAGGCACCAGCAAATGTGAAAGGGTCAGGTGAGCAGTCTGGTAACAGTAGGAATGTCTGGTTGCCTCCTAGAAAGATTTCTCAGGACAAGTGGGGCTTGCCTTGATCCACTCACACTTTCTCTCCCCACAACCTGGATTTTGGATTATGTAAGCTACCCGGGTGACCAAGAGAAAAAAAGCAAGGCTAACTGCTCCACAAGGGGACTGGCCCCGTGGCCTCAGCAGCCTCCCCATCCACCATCACCCCAGCTGGGCTGGCCAGCCACAGATTGAGCCTCTGATCACTGAGTGGTGGCAAAGCTATATCACACATGAACTGAAAGCCTGTCACTGGCCTCAGTGACACCTGTCACCATACCTGGCACATCACAAGGTGGGTAGGGATCCTTGTCTTCATCCTCTTCTCGGTAGTCATCAATTGTAACCTAGGATGACAGAGAGGTCTTGAGAGGAGGGGAGACTCTGACTTCAGTGCACTGCAGAGGACCAAAGTATAGACTCAGCCCTGCCATTCAGTACAGGGAGAGAAGCTCTGTTGCACATAAGTGCATGCATGCCTATGGACAGGTGTCCCCAGTGATAGTTCTACTTAAGACATAGCTCTGGGGGCAGATGAGGAGAAAGTGGGTCTAACTCCTTCCCAGCCATGCCTCTCTCTACCCAACAGTGTCCCACATGCTGTATGGTAACTGCACAGCAGATTCCTGTCTCCCTGCTAGAATGGGAGCTCCATGCACACAGGACCTCATCGGTCTTGTTCATTGCTGATCCTCAGTATCTGCCACACAGTAACCACTCTAAGTATTTACTGACTTAAGGAACAGACAAATGAAAAATCCAGAGCTTTCCTGAGTGGGATGAAGTTTGACAGCATAGCCCTGTGCACCCAGACCTCCAATTCCAAGATTCCTTCTGGAGGCAGACATCTATTAACAATCCTCTACTTGAACCCCCACCGAGAAGATACTAACACGTCAGGTCTCATGACACAATTTCAATAAAGAAAAAATAAGTGGTCCCCCAGTCAGATACATGTCATACTGGTTATTTGGTGAAACACTGATTAATAACCAGCTAGCCGCTTGAATTCATCCAGAATCCCCCTGAGAAGCCAGCGTCTGCAATGGTGTGCCACACTCTCACACCAAGTATCACACAGAATACTTCTCATGGTGTAAATGGTACTCTAATGACAGTATCAACAGATTCATTTATAAACAAAAAGGAGAGAATTATTTCAGGATATATACCTTATTGTCACTGTTGGCTATCTGGTTGACTTCTGGTTTGTTGTTCTTTTTATTCTCCAGGCTCTCTTTTCTACAGGGAAAAAGAACACGAGAAACCATATAGCCATATTCTTATGCATAAAAATGCTAATCCAGATTCTGAATCAACAGCGGCCTGATGAAGGACAGAATTTAATTGGAAACAACTGTAACAGTAAGAACATAGCACAACTCACACTCAGAGCTTCCCGTTCACCATGGTGTACTGGCTTCATTACATAGATCTCATTAAAATTCTCATGCAAGAGCTCATCAGCACTGAAGGCATCATTTATTTTATTTTATGACACCAAAATTAACCACAGAGGTTCTATAAACATGAGACCATGTGACTCCTACTCTCGGCTTTGAGGGAAGGAGAGCCCAGAGCCTGGGTTCTGACCGAAATTCCATCCATGGATGCAAACAGGGTTACCTGGCAATCTTTTTCCTCTCCTTCTCTTCAGCTTCCTCTTTCTGGGCAGTATTCAAACTTTCAGCATCAGCGAGATTGTCTACAGCGATGGCCAAGAAGACATTCAGTAGGATATCTAGTTTGAACATTTTAAGGGAACAACACAATTTCTAAACACAACTACTTGTGATCCACAATGACAACGTCACCCTCCTCTGTGCTCTGGAAGGCTGGTAACAGGGGACTGTCCCCTAGTGCTGTATACATTTGATAAGATGAGAAGACCAACGCCTGCTTAAAAAACAAAAACACACACACAAAAACAAAAACCCCTAGAAAGTTGTAGAAGACAGTCTGGAAAGAAGCAAAATTCAGATTTACTAAAACCCATGAAAATCTACAAACTTCAACATTTCCTTTCATGTGTGTGCTTACACAAACATGTGTCTCTGTACCCCGAGGTACCTATGGCTATAATACACACTGCATGAAACAATCTATAACATGAACATGGTGTTTTTATGCGTTTTATATTTTGCTTTGTGTATCTTTTCTTTCTTTTAAAACACACATGTATGCATAACACACACACACACACACACACACACACACACACACACACCCAGGGTGTGCTTTCCAAAACAGACCCTTTTAAAGACTACACATTATTCAAGATGATGATTGCACAAGGCAGTCTGAGTTCTTTTTCATCTGAAATGGTCTTCAGAGTCTGCAGATACTTGCTCATTCATTCATTTGCTGCACAAACACTGCTGTATTGCCAGGTGGTACCCCAACTATTCTTTTGAATAGCCCCACTGTAGCTATATCTTTGACTACTGTGCTTGAATATTATGTTTTAAAGTCCTAAAAAGTGAGGTGACTGAACAAGCTATCAGGTTTTTGGCTCTTCCTATAATGTATATGTGGCTTCCTTGGATGATAGAAAAAAAATTCTGAAAAAGGTTCTAAAATCTTCTGGAAGATGCCTGTTTTTTTTATTCACCAGCAGTTGAATACACTTTTGAGAAGCCAAGGATCAGAGGGAAGTAAGTCAAGATGGCTCCTTCTCTGACGATGCTTCTCCCTGGCTGCTGCATGGCCACTGGCATGCACGACTGTGGAAGCTCACGAACCCTGAGATGGAGAGGCACACCACTGTCCCACAGGGCCTATGCAATCTGAAATCTCAGCTGGGTAACACAAACGTAACCTATCAAGGGACTGGTGATGAGAGAACTTCCAGAGGATGTTGTGTTTGACTAAGCTATTCAGGTCTTTTAAGAGGAGAGAGCCATGAACAAATTTTTTTTTTTTTTATGATAGAGAGAGAGAGAGAGAGAGAGGCAGAGACATAGGCAGAGGGAAAAGCAGGCTCCATGCACTGGGAGCCTGACGTGGGATTGGATCCCGGGTCTCCAGGATCGCGCCCTGGGCCAAAGGCAGGCGCCAAACCGCTGCGCCACCCAGGGATCCCCCATGAACAAATTCTATGAAAACGTTCAAAATGCCTTTGATATGCTAGACTATGTTTTAAGCAGAGCTTGTAATGAGCTCAGGGAAGCAATCTGTCCTGGGCTGGGTGATGGCTTGGTAACACGAGCACTCCTCTGATACATGTGGGGTAATCGTGGCTCAGGCAGAGATTAGTGCAAGACTAACCACAATTGAGAATTCCTACCAATGAGCTCAATGAATAAATATGGTATCCTCAGTCTTGCAATGACACCAAACTCTTTTGGGTAGTGGAAAGCACATCCAGAGTAATAAACCATAGAGAAATCTTACAAGTTTATAAATAAAATGGTTTCCAAGAGTAAACACCCATCATCTATATTTAGAGGCATTACCCAGACCCTCCTAAAGAGTGGCATACTTTGGAATTCATTCAAAACACCCAAGCACCTCCAACATGCTGGGGACTGTGCTGGGTGCTAGAGACATGATGAACAGGAATCCCTACGCCCATGGAGCATCTATTCTAGTTGAGTGAGAAAGAACATAAACTACTTAAGCATTTCAGATAGTAATATATGTATTACAGAACAAAACAAAACCACAATGTGTAACCAGAATGAGGGGAGCCAGGGAATACTTCTCTGCAGACCTAAAGCCAGTATAGTGCTCTGGCCTGAAGGGTTCATCGAGGAGAGTACAATAAAAAATGAATACTGATCGTTCATTTGACAAGCATTTACCAAGGGCTATGTGCAAGACCCTCCACAATAAGCCATGAGACATGTTAATACAAAGAAAAGATTCCTGACTCAACAAGTTTATTGTTGAGCTGAGGGGATGGAGAAGCACTCATCCCAAATAGGTGCTGGCCCCCCACGTGTAGTAGGAGCTATAAGGATAAAATCGGGTAGGAGAGCTCATCTCTGGGTAGGAGGGGTGTTCAAGCTGCCTGAGGAACTAGTGGGGTTTCTATGTATTGTCCTTAGAAGTTTGTACTAGAGCTTCTACATAGAAGACAACTCACTAATGAACCAAGAAAATTAAGGGGGGGGGTGAAGAGCTAAAGGAATCTGGGGCTTCTTAGGAGAAGAATCCAGAGAGAATTCTTTAAAATAAAAAGATAAAGACCAAGAGGTAGTATTCACATGTTTGTACAACTGCTCTTTTGCCAAACCCTCACTGAGAGTTCCATATGCCAGGTCTTGTGGCAGTTAGGGAGGTCAGAGAGAGAAAGACACAACCAAAAGTTATAGGGTCATAAAGGGTTTGATCGAGGGAAAGAGAGACCCACATTTGCAGAAGTCTAGAATTAGGGAGTGCCTTTTGCCAAGGAAAAGGAGTAAAGGGTACTCAGAAAAGAGCTCATAGCCCAATACAGCAGCTAGCCAATGGATACTTGATCCCCCGAGTTGTACAGATCAGCAAAGCCACATCAGGTCCGAGGAGCTTATGTCAAGTCACTAATGATCAATGGTCCCACTGGTCAGGAAAGGTCTTAAGAGACACAGATGTGCCCCTAACCTCCCAAGCATGATGGCATGGAGGATAACCCACCTCTGCCCTAAGCCTTCCCTTGGGATCTGTGTAGGAGCTGTGATGTCAAGCTGGGTGAAGATGGGCATAGCCCATGCACTGTCCCATGTTCCCTTCCCCAGCTTGCTCACTTCTCAAAGCCTACTGCAACTCTGACCCCATTATGCTGTCCCAGTGACAGTAAAGGAGAACATATATTGAGCTAATAAGGTAAAAGCATTCACTTCTCCACCCCAAAGGCCACCACCACCATTGCTAGCACACCATCACCACCACTTGTGGCCACCATCACACCCACCACCACTGCCACCACCTCAGGGTAGTTCAGACAGGGAGAAACAAAACAAAATGATGATGACAAAGCCCCCGGTCAGCTTGAAGGATACAGTTACCACAAATGAAGAGGATGATGAAGTAGATGCAGACGATCATCCCCGAAGACGACGGGCCGCCATAGGCCATAATGCCATCATACATCACGGCGTTCCAGTCCTCCCCTGTCAGGATCTAAGAGGCCAAAACTGTGGTCACCCACACACAGCAGCTGGACTGCAGCTCCCGATGGCCCGCCACAGCCTCCTAGGGGCCACCCAAATCTGCATTGAGCTGCCTTTCACTGCCCCATTTGCATTCAGCAAATCCATCAGTTATCCCATAGACTTTTCAAAACTGTTTTCAATTACACAGACACAAGAGTTAATTCTTGACATGGAAATAAAGTAATACTACACGTACGACTTATGTAGTCTTTGATGACACTGCAGTTCTTAACATCCCCCCCAGCACATGCTGTTGGTGCCCCTCTCCAAAACCTTTGTGTACATAAACACACAGATACGCACCCAAAGGAAAGAGGTAGCTATTATCTTCTAAGATTTATTAGGCATAAAGGATGTCATACTATATGAATTTTCTGCATTTGCCTTTTCTCTCCCCCCTCCCCCACTCAACAATATATTCTGGAGACCCTCTGTGTCGGTAAGTGCCTTCAGTCTTCTTAATGGTTGCCTACTATTCCACATGGTTAATCTACTCTAGAAATGGAGAATTAGATCCATGAATTTGTAGAAGCAGGGAATTCCAAGTATCTCATGTAAATTTATAAACTATTTCATGAGCAGATACTAATAGCTATCTGAAATTTCACATGGAACTTTCTCTACTGATGATGTCTCATAACTCAATCTGTCATCTGGGTAGAATCAGATGAACCTAAATAGCATTTTAATAACATACTATCTAAAAAATAATAAATAAAAATAAAACCATACTATCTTCCAGAGAGGGAGTATATGTGTTCCTGTATTGTCTATCTGAACTAGACACCTAAAAAATAAAATAGTCATGGCTCACAACCCAAGAGAAATATGGGCAAATGATTTCAAAAGATAAAGCAATTCCCTGGAAAGGAACTTTGTGGCTCTTAATCACATGAAGACATTCAAGTTCACTCCTGATAAGAGAAATAGGCATTAAAGCTATAAGATACCATTTTCACCTGTCAGACAACCATCAAAAAGTTTGAACACCCATTGTGGTAAGAAGTAGTGAGTTGTGGGACAGCATCCATGCCCCACCCCTGGAGGATGGACTGACACTACTTTGAGGAAGATGCTGGGCAAGAGTGTCAGTGTCGGAAATGGACACACACCCTTCAAGCCAGTAATTCCACTTCTGGAATATTTACACTACATGTCTATGTTCACACATGTGCCCATGGTATGTGTTCGAGGTCACTCACCAAGCCAAGGCCAGACATAATGAAATACTCATTGGCTAGGGACTAGTTACATAAGTTAGGGGAAAGCCACAGAGTGTGCAGAATCCAAAGTAGGAGGCAGACCCTTATGGACCAAAAAGGCAGATTCCTAAGGACACTTTAAATGGTAAGAAGCCGGAAAACAGCATGTAAAATGAGCTACCATCTGCGTCATATCACATTCATTGGGAGGTGGGTCAGTTGGTAGGTTAATTGATTTACATCTATAAGCAAATGTATCTCAAAGATTACATGGAAACTATTCAATGGTGGTTGCTCCTAGAAGGAGAAATTGGTGGCTGGGTGGGAAGGAGACTCATTTGTTACTTTATATCCTTTTTGTAAGCATTTGAATTTTGTGTCAGACATGGGTACTACCAAAAACTACCACCACTGTATACGTTTCTCTGAAAGAAAGCAGAAAAAAGAATAATCAGTGGCTAAAAATTAAGTATGATCCAAAAATTAAAGTATATTTCAAAAAAAGTATGGTCTATCGCAGGGCTAGCAATTCTATTCACCTCAAAATGACTAAGCAGAAATGAATCTTATAGAGATCTCTAGTATCTTGGTTTTTGTTTTTTTTCCTCCTCACAAAAAAATAATGACCTTCCAAGGTTATAGGGCTGAGCACTGAAAGAGCCAGCAGGAGACCTGGATGTCCACGTCTACAGTCCCTCCTACCAGGCCTTCATGCCTCCCCAGCAGGGCTCTGGAAATCACTGACAACGTGAGAAAAGTGACAAGGGCAGATGGGTCTTTAAAATTTGTCTGCCACTCTGTTCAAGGAAGGGCTTCAGCTCAAAACATAGGAAGAGGGGGTTTAGAACACCGCAGCTTAAAGCCAGGCGGCGTGTGGAGGCTGCTGCTTTGAGTGTAGAGTCCACTGTTCCTCCTTCTCAGCCTGGCGGCCTTCACAGGCCCCAATGGCATGGACATGCTCAGAGCCTGTGTGTCCCCATTATATGACAGGAGGGAGAAACAAAGGGGCAGAAGGTTGTCACAACTCTTTTATCACCCTGAGTCTTCTGACTACACACCGGAGCATTAGGGCTTTAGAATTCATCTCTTTGCACAAATCCGTGTGAGCCAGGATCACAAAACTTGCCTGCAATCAAAAATTCACAAAGAACAGGAAGAGGATTTTAGAGCCTATCTCACAGAAACCTCACAAATCAAACAGAAGTTTTTGGTCTATTATCCTGTCATCTGTCCAGTGGTCTTACAAACACGCGACATCACGCCACATGGATAGCTGGAGTCAGGTGCTCAACAATCGACTTCCGTGGTGTAAGGTCTGTTAGAGCATTATTGGGGCAGAGGTCACTAATCGCGGCAGACTCATCCTGTCTTCCTGGGTCGAGGAGGGACAAGACGGCGGCTCACATGGGCTCCTCGCGAGGGCTCACCTGGAATACGGTCAGAAGGGCTTGAGGGAAATTGTCAAAGGTGCTCCGCTTGGTCTGTGTTTCGTCAAAATTAAACTTGCCACCAAACAGCTGCATCCCAAGCAAGGAAAAGATGATGATGAAGAGAAAAAGCAGAAGCAACAGCGAAGCGATGGACTTCATGGAGTTTAACAAGGAGGCCACTAAGTTGCTCAGGGAAGTCCAGTGCCTACAAGTCAAGATGGGGCTGTGAGCGCAGAACGCCCACGGGACACAGCAGACATCACGGGGCCAGGGCGAGGCTGATCGCCACCCCCCCAGCCAGAAAACACCTGCAGCGAGATGCATGCGCTCTCACCTGGTCACCTTGAAAATCCTTAAGAGGCGCACGCACCGAAACACAGAGATCCCCAGAGGAGACATGATTTCCAGCTCCACCAAGATGGTCTCGGTAATGCCACCACACACCACGAAGCAATCAAACCGATTGAAGAGAGAGACGAAATAGGCCTGGAGACCCAAGCTGTACATTTTTACCAGCATCTCGCAGGTGAACAGAGCCAGGAGGACTTTGTTAGCGATATCTGTAAAGACAAAGGGTCTGATTGTGGGCGTGGCTCAGACTTGCCTTCCCTCCTCAGAACCCCTTCCCACCAGTCTCTGCTGGAAATGCCCTAGAACCTTGCCCCAGTCTTTGCTATGGCCCCCATTACAGAAATGTGGCACCAATGTTTATGGTCTGTCCGCCGGGTTCCAGTCCTGCTTCTGCTACCACCTAGCTGTGGGACTCTGGAGGAGTCCCTTGAGTTCTCTGGGCCTCAGTTTTACTGACTATAAAATGGGGAGGAGCAGTTTACCATACACTCTCTGATGCTCTCTAGACCTAAAAGCTTGTGCTTCTGCATTTTACCAGCGTATTATATTTTTTGTTTCAGTCATAGAAAGGCCAGTCTGGTCTTGCTTAGGGCACCATGATATAAAAAGCAGTTGTCCATCAAGGTCACTTCTAACTGCAGCAGGCTGGAGAGCTGGCCAGAAATAGGACCTCCCCATAGATCACAACTGACAAACTCAGAATGGATGGTGTCTGGGGGTGAACTCCTGTACTGCACTGCTGGGGCTCTCTACGTAAGGGAGCAACAGACACTTGCCAAGAATACCATGTGGGAAAAGAAAGTTGCCAGTGGGGACAGGGAGAAGGGAGATGAGGTCCCTTCCAACTACAAGATTCCCTGACCCTAGGTTGTCATAGGGTTAAGACTCGGCCCCAGAGTGCTTCGTTCTGCATACCACGTGGGCTGCACCTGTTTCTGGATGGTTCCACTGTCTTCTATGCCCCCAGAAATGTCCTGTCATTACACATTGATCAGATAAGACTAAACTACAGTTGGACAGCTTCAGGAGGCCCTAATTCAGAATCAGAACAAAAAGAAAACAGCCTCTGCTCGCACCTTGAATCTGCGTCAACCAGTCAGGCTGATTGTAGTGCTCAGAGGAAATGGTTAAGGTATTGAGAAACACCAGGACAATAACCAGCCAGTAAAACGTGACAGACTTCACAGCAGCACGACATCTTCTGCGATTGAAGCGGTTCCAGCGACGCCAGCGTCGGCTATGAGAGAAGCAAACGTGACTCCATGAATGGCAGACATGGCATCTGCATGCCCAATAGACATTATAGAGAAATAAATCATCTTTAACTCTAGAGATAAAGACCAGGGGGTACAGGAAGGAAGGCATAGAAATTATAGTCTTTAAACCTGACTTTACAAGCGTCATCTTGACCTGATCATGCTACCAGTTTCCTTCCTATGGCTTTAGGCAACTCCATAGTCTGCCATACACAGTCCTTAAACCAGTTAGAAAAATCTAGATATTCATAGATTTGTCTGCAGATGCAAAAGTGAGGCTGCACACATCTATGCAGTTCACATTCCTACCATATGGCACATGGATCTGTTCACACTCTGTGTGCAGAGAGCCGTTTGGGTTATTATACACATCTCTTGTGGCATCTCCATCATCGTACAGAATTTATCAGGCAGCAAAGTGCTCCCAACCCAGTTCTCATTTTAGGGAAACTTTTAGTCCTTTCTTAAATCTGGGAGGTTTCTCTGGAGCCTGGCACACTTGTCAAAGCTGAGTAGGACATGAGTCTTTATACTGAGTCATCAGGTGCCCTTTCTAACTAGTGATGCTCAAAATATACCTTCAGGAGAAGAGCCAATATTGAATTGTGTTTTCATACAAATAAAATGAGCCGAGCCAGACAGACAAGTAGCATGTCTTCTACTGACTTTCAGTTCCGGTTTATAATTAGGGTAAGTATTCCCTCTCTGCCACAGGATGGAACAGTGAAGTGGGTCCCAGGAAAATGCCAGCCGATTGGCAATGTCGGCCCCGTCCAGGCTGGGCTCATGGACAGGGGCGGTAGGTACTTCCTCTAGTGGCCCAGGTCAGAGGAGTCCCCAGGCTACGTGCAAGCTCCAGCCCTGGCTAACTCAGCTGCGTGGCTATGTTAAAAACACATAACCCAGGGACCGGGCAAAGAATTACTTGTGCCAACTCTTCAACAAGACCTAGAACAAGAGAAGGGCATTTTGTTCTTGCTCTTGCTATGCAGTTTTCAGTGGTAATAGTGGCTAGAAACATGATGACTAGTGTAGAAAAATCCCACTGTTTCTCCTGTGATGCATAATTTAGTACACACAAGTAAGGTGGTCTGAAAAAGAACCAGTGTTAGGTCTATTTATGCTGTAGTGACAAGTCTTGAGTGTCTCCCAAATCTCAGAGGCCTCACCGTCCCATCTCTTAAAGTCCAGTGGCACTTCTCATCCTGCCCCTCATGGGACTCCAGACACTGGATATATAGAGATGAAGGCACACTGTCCTGTGGCCTCTGACCTTGAAAAGCAGCAAAGCTGGGGCAAATAACAATTATAAATCCCTCCTAAGTGCTATTCTCAGGGTCCTGGGTACAGGAGCAAAGAGACAGGAGCATTAAGTGCTCTTTGCAAGAGTCAGGAAAGGCCTCCCTGAAAAGCTGAGATTTGGGCTGGCTCTGGATAACAGAATAAGAGTTCACCAGGGGGCAGACAGGAGGGCACCCCACCCGGAGGGGACTATGTGGCCGAGGGGACTGAGACGGGAAGAAACAGAGCATGGTGAAAACCAAGAGCAGTCCAGTACAGCCACAGAGTGGGGAGTGTGTGAGGCGTGTCAAAAGATCAGGCCAGAGAGTGAGGTGGGGGCCCAATTATGAAGGAATTTATATGTCCTCTAGCAACAGGGAGTCATGGAAGGGCTTCCAATTGTTTTAAAGTCAGATTGAGATGCAATAGACATATGGCAACTATTAATATTTAGGAATAGGGTTTGTAACCACTACCACAATCAAGAAGTAGAAAATTTCCATCACTCAAAGAACTTTCATCGCAGCTCTTTGTAGTAGTTAACCCACCCTCCTCACCTCAGCCCCTGACAACTACTGATCTGTTTTTTGTCCCTACTGGCTTCTTTTATCCAGAATGTCCTAAAAAGATAATCATACAATACAGAGTTTTTTTGAGACTGGCTTCTTTCACATAGCAAGAATACTTTCCAGACTCATTTGTGTTGATGTATCTATCAGTTTTTTCCTTCTTATTGCTGAGCATTATTCCATCAGTGAATGAACTGCAATTTGTCTATCCATTCACAACCTGATGGACATTGGAGTTATTTACAGTTTTTTAGCAACTGTATCCAAAGCTGCTATAAACTCTTATATAAAAATTTCTCATGCAGACATATATCTTCATTTTATATAAATATCTCAGAAGCAGAATTGCTAGGTCATATGGTAAATATATGTTTAACTTTTCAAGAAACTGCCAATTTGTTTTTTTAGAATGACTGTATCATTCAACATGGAGGAATGTAAGGGAATCCCCACTGATTTCACATCCTTGTCAGAACTTGGTACCGTCAGATTTTAAAATTTGATTCATAGGCATAAAAAATGTCAATAGGTACATGGTGGTGTCTCACTGTGATTTTGATTTGCAGTTTCCTAGTGACCAATGCTCATTTCATGTGCTTATTTGTCATCCATATCTTTTTTGGTGACTTGCCTATTGAAATCTATCGACCATTTTTTGTTGTCTTATTATTTACATCATATTTGTTATTCTTTTTATATAGTGGATAGTAGTCCTCTATCAAACGTTTTGCAAAAATTTTTTCTTCTGGTCTGAAGCTTGTCTACTCACATGGCCAGTCTTTTGGGTGTTATATCCAAGAAATCTTTGCCCAACCTAAGGTCGCAAAAACTTTTGAATGTTTTCTTCTAGAATGTTTAGATTTAGGTTTTACATTTATGTCCATGAACAGTTCAAGTTAATTTTTGTATATAGTGGTAAAATGTTTTTAGTTGAAAATAACATTTATGTGGAAAAGTACACAAATCGTAGGTATATGGTTCCATGAACTTTTTACCAACTAAACATGTAACCTGCATCCAGAGCAAAGAACAGAACATCACTGGCCCCTCAGAAGACTTCTTGGAACTCCCTCCACAGAAAACTTATTTTTTAAACATTTATTTATTTGAGAGAGAGAGAGAGAGAGAGAGAGAGAGAGAGAGAGAGAGAGAGAGAAAGAAAACACGTGAGTGGGAGGGGTAGAGGGAGAGGAAGAGAAGCAGACTCTGTGCTGAGTACAGAGGCCAATGCAGGGCTCAATCCCGGGACCCTGAGATCACAACCTGAGCTGAAACCAAGAGCCAGACATTTGACTTACTGAGCCACTCAGACACCCTCACAGGAAACTTATAAACGAAGTGACACGAAGTATCTCTGAGAAATGACTCTGGGAAGGAATATGAAGGGTTGATTAGCGACAAGAAATTGTTCGTTATTGCATCTCACTGGTTTGTTTGAGGGCAAGATCTTCAGCACCTACTATGCTGCCCTTCAAGGCAGGTGCTTAATATTTACTGGACAACTGATCTTCAATATGAACATCCTAACCCAAGGATAAAGTAAAAATCAAGTCAGAGCAACTCCATGTATAATTGAGAAGTTAGAAAGTAGAACACCAAACACACAGGCTTAAGAGAAAATAGAAGATACTGACCTGAGTTTGGATTTTGAGATGGCTTGGCTAAAAGAAAGACAAAAAGAATAGGATTTCTGTTAGAAAGACTCGAGCATACTCTCCCCGTCACGTCAGCTGAGAGATCAGAAAAGCCATGCACAGAAGCCTGGGATCAGCATCCCCAGCACCCCCAGTGAGACAGCAGGGGTGAGAGCAGAGCAGGAGGCGAGGTACTGCCAGGGCCAGGTGGGCCAGGCTGACATCCTCCAGGGTTCAGGCAAGAGAAGACTCTTAGCCAGCAGCCCTGCACAGCCCGGTCACAGGCTGTGATGCCAGGGGTTCTTCTCCCCTGACCCCACTTCCCCCGAGTGAAGTCAGTGGGGCCTCCCCTGCTCCATCTCAGCCACTCAGCAGCAGCATCTGCTGCTGCTATAGCAGAGGGAGCACTGGACTAGGAGTCCTAGCTCTGCTATCCACTAAACTGCATGGGTTCTGGCAAGCAGCACACCTTTTGAAGCTTCAGTGTTCTCATCTGTAAAATGAGGAAGACAAATCCATCCCCCTGCCTACTTCACAATGTTGTAGGGAGGGCAGAGCAAAACAACAGAGGCAAATTCACTTCTTAAAACTTCTGACCAAGACATGTCACTTGTGTGAATCGCTGCCAAGAAGATCAAAATCTTTTAAGAACACCACCTCTACTTTACAGAGATAAGACCTAAGGGATATCAGCAGGAAGCAACTGAAACAAAATTGCATGGACTCTCCAAAGCAGGCCGTACTCTGCACATTGCACACTGCTGGTCCCTGCTGGGGGCCAGGTCATCTAGACAGAAACCAACAGGGTGAATGTGGTGGCACCTTCCACCGTTAGGAGAGGGTGGTGTGGGCTCCAGAAACAAGTGCCGTGAGCAAAGGAGGGCGGGCTCTTGTTGTGCAGCCACCACGTGGGGGGGTCGGGAGAACCCGCCAGGGAAAGAAAACTTAAATATGCAGCACATCCTGTCAGCCACTCTGCCATACAAGCTCTTTGTCAAAGCACTGATGCCAACACCAGACTGCGAGGAAAATCAGGCCTGTTACCCCCACCGCCGACACCCAGAGGGCCCAGCCTTGGCCGTGCCTCTTCTTTTCCACCAGCACCTAGTGGACACAGTGGAATTGCCGGGTTACCTGGCCCGCCCCGCAGCAGGCTCCGCCTGGGCAGGAGGCAGGGCGGGCTGCTCTGGGGGAAGAGGCATGTGACATGCTGGGGGGCCTGGGGGCCTGGGAGGGGAAGGGAGGGGGGACCCAGGGGTCCAGAGTGAGCCCACCCACCCCTTGTGCATCTGAGGCTATGGCCCCGGGATGCCTTCCCCGCAGGTGCTCCTCTAAGAAGACAGTAGGGGGCAGCAGGGCAGGCAGCCTCCACACTCACCAGAGACTCCCACAGCCGCCTGGATTCTCGCCTCCGCCACTTACGTTCTCTGTGTTCACCGACTCGGTCTCGCTGGTGGGCATGCTGGCTGCAGGGAGAAGACAAGGCTTTAGCCGGCACGCCGGAGGTGCTGCGTGCCCAGGAGTGGGCCGGATGCAGACTGCTGCCTCCAGGCAGGCCCTCTGGCAGCCCAGGAGGAGGGCCGGGAAGGGGGAGAGGCCAGGCACCCCCATGGCAGGGGGGTCTTCGCTTCCATGATCTGCTGACCTGCTGAGATAGACCATACAGCGCCCCTCCCCTCCCCCATCAGGAAGAAACCCTGTCCATCCAGACACTTCCCAAGAAAAGCCCAGGAGCCAAACTGAATCCAGTTGCTGTGCCTGACACCAGCTTATCTTCTTGACTTCCGGGAGTGCACTGAGAGGCCACACAACTCAGCTACAGTGACATCTTTGCTGGCCCCAACTGGTGTTGTCTAGAAAGTCTGTGACTAGACTAGTACTTCATACACGAATTCTTATCTTAAAAATAGTAAAGGAGAAGAGATATTGGATGCTGGAGGACATGAAGGTATCAAGCACAAAATCTTTTTAAAAATTTAAGAACTCTGCTCACGATTAATTTATCAGATGTCTAAGTTCCACTGAGCTTGTGAAGCCAGTGTGCAGAAGGCTCTTACCAAAGCAACCAGAACCAGAGCACAAAGGAAGTGCAGTCTTACAGGTAGTAAGGTTTTCTCCCAACCAGTGGCCAGAAGGCAAAGTTGACGGTGATCTCAGTGTCACCAAAGTCTCTGGGCATGTCTCATTCTTCTACAGCTGGATCCTGAGCAGAGGAAGTAGAAGGAATATAGAAATGCACCCATGGTGCTGGGAGGCCCAGGAAACCATCGTCTGGCATGTGGGCATTAGTTCTCAGACACCTGATTCAACCCTGTAAGCAGCGTAAGATGGATTGAAGGAGATGCAGGGCACATGAAGCACTACACCCGCCCTGGAAAAACCAACGGATTTCAATTATCTATGAAAAGAGTCAATTTGGGGGTCCACGCAAGGAGCTCTGGAAGCACACAGTGAGCAATGACTAATTCTGCTCTGGAGTTTAGGAGAGAGGGGGTCACTGAAGACAGAAATGTGGGAGATTCACCCAAGCACATGTACTTCTTTACCCTGATGCATCATTTTGAACTATAGCAACTGTCTTTATAGACATTGTGGCATCAATAGGAAGGCCTTCCCCCTGTGGACTCTGCCGATATGGCTCCTAGCCAGGACACCTCTGCTTCGATCTGCAAAAACTGGTGTATTGCTGGAGTGCCGTGGTGGAGGCTCTGAGGCCAGCCCAGGCACAGAGGGCAAAGGAGCCGGGTCGATGAGCTTTGTGGTGTGGCTGTGTGCCCGCAGGCCCTGCTCGGGCAAGGGACGCTGTGAATAACAAGGATGAAGGTGGGCCCAGAGGACTGAGAAACAGAGTCCTTTTCCTTCTGTGGGCACCCAGGAACTGAGCCTGCTCAGGTAGGAGTTCCATAGCCACGTCTGGGAGCATTTAGGCAAAGGCAGCAAAACAAAACGAGCAAAATTACAGACCCACATCACACTACTGAGATTCTCTTAGAATCATCTTTCTTCCTCAACGAAGTCAAAAGAAACCAACTACAAACTTTGATTCATTTTTTACTACTCCATGCAAAAAAAAAAGACAAAAATAAACAAACCAAAAAACGCACACAATCCAACCACAGAAAAAACCTTTAACAAAAGCTCCATAAAGACACACACTCAACAGACGCACGAAGCTGCTCATGCAATTCTCTTCTCCGTGACTGATTTGTGCTCTGACTTGAAAAGATGAAAACATTATAAAATTCAATGAAGCTCGTTGCTATGGGCTCCTCCCCTAGGTCACCCTTCTCTTCGGTGACAAAGAAAATCACAGTGGGAGACTCCTACAAATATGACCGTGAGTCATCTCTGTGCAATACTTTTCTTGGTAGTTACTGTCACTCCTAACTCAGAGGATTGACGTCAAGAGCAGCATGACACAGGGCAGGAGAGGGGGTGGTCCATAGGCCCCAGTTAGGGTTTGACTGTGCTGTGTCCAGTCCTACCACTCTGCAGGCTGCAATATCCAATGTGGAGAGTAGGGGTGCCAACTCCACACTCTCAAGGGCCACCTTCCACCTCTCAGTTTAATGCTTCACGGTCCTACTACTGATCATCCTAGAACTGTAATTATTATTTCCAAAAGAGCAAACTTCTTTGGAATAGGCTAAATCTTGGTGGCTTCTTACCCTCTGGGGCCGTGTCCCATTACGAGAACAGTACAGTTGCTGCATGTCATTGCTAAAGCTTCTTTTTTCTAACAATCTGATCAAAACAGATAAATTACATGCTGCCTAAGGGAAGGGGGGCACTTTGCATTTCTGGTTCTGTGCCAGCTACTAGTGAATGAAATGTACCAGTTACTCCCTGGACAGGAGAACCAAGTGGAAGGAAAGATAGGAAATAAAGGTGAACCCCCCACACAGAAACTAAGAGAGATTAATGGTGTGGCACAGTGTCAGGGCTGCGCTGATGGAGAGAAGTTCCCTTGGCCCCAGGCAGACTCCATCCTTCAGATGAGGCAGGACGGTGGCTAAGAGCAGACTCTCAGGTGGGCGGAAGTGAGATACAACACATGGTGGGGGCGGGGGGGATTTTCCCATAGTCCTGGGTCATCCTATGTGGGTCCACAGTGTTGGGCAGTTGGTGGGGCTCATACGTGGTAGCTGTCACCTCAAGAAAGCTCTCATGTTGCTCCCTGGAAACAAAGTGACACTCCGTGCAAAGCCCAGGCCCTTTGCCCTGACTACTTCCACTCGTGCACAAAGACACCTAGTGTGAACAATCTTCCACACTCCTGAGTCAGCTTTGGCCACCACTCTTGGTTTGTATCTCTTCTATCTTGAAGGAGCCATCTCCGTATGACTTCACCTGCTGTAGAGATAGCAACTTCTCCGTCATAATTGTTGGACACCAAGAGTGCCACAGACCCATAATAAATAAGTTATTCCAGAATGACATCACACTGCCAGAGCTGAGGCGGCGGTGAGGGGGAGGCAGATGAAGAGCACAGTGACTATGCTAGAATTGGGTGACCTCAGCTGGTCCTGGAATCGGACCGTGATGACCTGAGCAGAGGCACCAGGCTCTGATGGGGCCCTGGCAGCCTTTCTTCTCTGTTCCAGCCTCTCCCTCCCAGGCACAGGGGAGAATTTCCTTTCTCCAAAGTATGAAGGCAGCAGGCCCAGTGGGCAAAAGCTCATTTGTACATGAACATTTCACCCTTCACTTGTACCGGGCATTATTTTTCATATGAAAACATTGATATGAGTTTCATTTCACTTAGCCCCAATGGGACTTCATAGATGTTTTTACAATCAAGACAGGAGGGTCACAGACTGTTAGAACTACAAGGGGGCCTCTGAGATCACATGAAGCATCTCTGTGATTTCAGATGAGAGACCTGACCAACTTGCTTCGGGACACACAGCCAGGTGTGAGAAAGCTCTCCTGCTTCCCACCTGGCCATGCTTGTGGTGTATGCTTAAACATCCTGGGATACGTTTTGATACCGGTATATGTTGATATGTATATTGGTATGCCCTTACAATTATACTTAATATACTTAAATACTGGTACACATTGGTATATATTGGTATATCCTTAAAAGGCCACACACTAAGAGTTCCAAAAGCCAAGCAAGACAATCATTCATCAGCTTTGGTTTGCTGTCCTGCTGACCTAATTAACCCCCAGAAACCTGGTATACAAGCAGACCACCTCCAGGAGGTGAACCCAGCAGAGAGAGAGAGAGAGAGAGACAGAACGAAGATCAATGTGCTGTGGTGACTATTGGGACTTTATGAAAATCTACATTTAAGTAAACCCCTGAGGAAGATTCCTGGAACACACGCCCTTTCCCCTGGCTGCCATAGCATCACGGCTGCCCCGTTCAGGGCGAGCACTCTGTCCCTTTCAGTCCAGATTCAACGGTAACTGCTGACAAGTGGTGAGGCTAACTAGGGGTGCAGGCAGAGACCATCCTCTCAGTTCCAGCATGTCATCTACAGGCAGAAGCAAGCCAAGGGGCCATCTGCATGCAGAGGAGCTGTAAATCCTTTCCCTCACACATTCCAGGGAATTTTCAGAACTCTGTTGGGCAAGTTTTCATTTCTTAAAAATATAAGTTATACAAAACTATTTCCAAGATCTGGGTGAAACCAGGCATTAGGATAAGCCTGTGCCTAGAAGGGGATGCTGACTTGCACTGCAATTTGCCTGCTGAAAACCTAGGAAGCTCAGGGCCACTGCTTTGCAAGCTAGTCCAGGCACCAGGATCTCCGAGAAGAGCTCCAGGGCAGACCCCGAGGCTTCGATGTGGGCGTGCTGAGCATAGGACCCGAGGGCTGCTGCCAATGAGGAGATGATGCCAGACAGCAGCCCTGTGGGCCCTGGACTGCAGACGAAAGCCACCCTGGCCTCTGCAGGTGGGGTGCCCCTCTTGGAGAGTCCTCTGTGGATGGTGTGCCACATTGCTTCTAAGATCTGCTGCTGGGGTCTGGATGCCATTATGGGCAATGCCACACGAAACAAACCAGGGAAATTCGCTATTTCTCAGGCCAGCACAACTAACTAGCATTTTCACCAACACATAAACATTCCTCTGTATACACTGTCCAGAACAACATACTCTTCAACCAAATCTGCCTGGCTTGGGAGTTCAGAGGGAATCCAACACACACACACACACACACACACAGTGAATGAGTCTGTATGTGGGTTCAAGTAGGCAGCCTCAAAATTATGTTCACCAGTAACAGGTACAGCAAACTCTCCAACGTACTTCCTTCAGTGATACAGGCTGCTCAGGTCAAAAGACACAAGAAGGAATGTCAGAGAAGCTGGGTCTTTGTCACAGGTAATGTGGGGACAAGTCTTTTCCCTCTTCCTCCTTGGGCTTAGTTGGCTAATCTAGAACATGAGCTGTTGGGTGATATCATCTGTAAGACCCATTTACCTCTGACCTGCTTGAACTGCTATAAAGAGG